TCGGTGACCCTGCCATGTTCTTTTTCACCGATCACCAAAAAAAGAAAAAAGGAGATCACTGTTTTTAGATTACTGTGATCACGAGATGACTTCATCCTCCCATTATCTCCTTCTATAGAATGCTATCCTTGAGTATGTGTGCCAAAAGTAGGAATGGGTTTGACAGTCCCACAGCCAGGAGTAGTGAGTCATAGCGACAGGGGAAACCTGGGACTAAGAGGAAATTACATGGAGGGCAGTCAATGTTCGTTTGTCTGCTTTCAATGTGTGCATAAAAAGGATGTATTATTCACGACTGTATTTAACAAGGAGAACTCACATCTCTATGACTACAATATTCACGTACAGTGTATCGTTCATAATGTACCTGGGTTTTGAATAACTTGTGTGTACAGTACTGTACGCACATTAGAATATTTTTACAGACAACATTCACTGTAGCTAATTCACTGTCAGTTCTCACTATTAAGTAAATGTACTATGTACAAACTGTACATGTACATGTAGTTTGTCTTCGACAGGTTTAAAGCAACTGAGTCAGCAGAGAAGTCAGTCCGTTGAAAACAGAATACCCGGTACCCAACCTTGGTCATAAGCCTTCTTGAAGACACAGCACACGAATCACCTTGTCCGTTCACGGTCAAGGTGAAGGTTGAAATCACCCCCAAAACACTTTCAAGGTGATTGGGAAAGAAATCAAACAAGTAAAAGTATTAGAAACCTGGATCACTGGATGTATCTTCAATGATTTCTATTTATGTCAATTGATTGGCATTGGGAAATTTGATTGGTTTAGTTTATTTTTGTGTTTTTTAAATGAAACAAAGCCTGTACACGCTATACATGTACATGTACGTAGGCCCAACAAAAGTATTGTTCATATACTGTAGTCCATGTACAGTACAGTACATGTACATGGACTTTTACATGTACTAAGTGCTGTTCGTTTTTTGTGTGGGTGCAGTTCAGTTTTGAGCATGGGTGCTTCCTGTGTTTACTGTTATTACACGGTGTCTTCTCAGATAATCCCTTAAAGATCAAGTTCCTCTCACGGCTGCTGACATGACGTCTGTCTCGAGGAAGGGGGTGTGATGATGTCACTCCGAGAGTCAGGTGAGTCACATGATAGGGTAAGCACTATAGGAAGCACGTCACATTGCGGTGCGTGAATTAACTACTATGGAAATCAAGACCTCAATATACAATTACTATATCTACATCAACTATATCTACTGTACATCGACTATATCTACTGTACATCGACTATATCTACAGTACATTGTCAATGCACATGTACAATGTACATAAAAATGCAGTAAAAATTTGTGCATCTATTCAAAAATAATTTCATTCCCCGCTTTTCAGTTTAAGGAAATCGGCGAAGGAAAGAATTATACCCTAAAAATATAAAGTACTGTATATAATGTACATTGTATCTTCTGATATACGCGACAGCTGAAAAGAGTGAATGGTTGTCGACTAATTGGTCTTTTCCTCACCAAAGTTCTTCCATTACTTTACAAGTACACTATTATGACCAAAAGCTTGTCAAACAGAGCAACTGCTAAATAAAGAGTGTTATTTTCATGCAAGCAAACTTGAAAGTAGCCCCCCGAGTATTTTTTTCCCTGAACTGCTAATTCATACATGTATTCTGACTTTTTAGAAATACACACAGTAACAGTAACTTGAAACATGTACATGTACATGTGTTACATGTATGTACATGTAGCTAAAATGTAACAGTGGGTTTAATACATGTACATGTACATGTATGTACATGTACATGTTTACTGTACAGTGTACACGTACATGTAGGACAAGCAACCCTCTTCTTGAATTCTTGAAAAGAAAAAAACCCAAGGTATTGTACAATGTACAATGTACAAGTTCATCGATATTCATTTTCCATACAGGTACATGTACATGTGGCTCTGTTTGAACTTTCTAGGACCAAATCACTCAATGCTCCTTTTGCTGGAATCTTTTACTGATTACATGTACATGGGATTTAGGAAGATTCACATACCGCCACTGGTACTTGATGAGTTTGAAGTGGCCCAATACAGAAGCTTTGACCTCCACTCTGGTGCACATTAAATTCCCATTCACTTGTTGTACTCACAAATGAATCACACACATGAACACATGCTGAATGTTACAGCTCAATGCACTCAATTCTGAATGGATGAAGACGGTTGAATAAACAAAATCCTTCCAGTCAGCGATAGCAGTCCAATGGAATGATTCAATCATCTACCCACATGTAAGTCATCATTCATAAAATAATATTTAAAAATGACTCACCATTAATAAAGTTTACTGAGCACTATTATTATAAAGAATTACTACTGTGGATTTGTACAGTATGTACATGTACATTACTTGGGTATGTACTGTACATATACTGTACATCCATACATGCTCTTACATGGAGCAGAGAGAATTTAGCAGTGAAAAGATCAATTTACAGCTCTGGTAAAAGCAAATTAAAAAAAACTCACACTTTAAAAGAAAGATGAAGACCCCCACCCCCTCCCACAAACGCGGTACTGACCTGTGCCCTCATCGTGATTGATCAGTACCACTCAAATGAATCCATACTAACTTACATTGTACAACATGTACATGTAGATATGGACATGTAATTTATGTAATTCCAAATAAATAGTGTAAATGTACACCCCAGACACATTTCAAAGAACTCAGATACATGTATGTTGTAGAATGAAAAAAGATCTTCTTGTTGTGTCCATCAAGAACCCATGTCTAGACCACAGATGTCAAGGGAGTACATGTTCATTTGTAGATTGTAGTTGAACTTCTGTCTTCCGGGATATCGTTTGAAATCTAGATCAGGTGAATTATAAGAGTGAATATCCTGGGAATACTTGGAATACTGCAGAGTAGCAATTTACTTCTCTCTGCAGGATGAGAATCATGATATCCTGATAAGTACGACCCCTGACCTGAACAGTCATTAATTATAACAATGACAGTCACCCCCTGCTGCTTGCACATGTTACAGGCATGATCAGAATAGCACATAACTATTAAACCTTCCTATTCAATTGGCTTAGATAAGAGCAGAAAGAAAAAAAATGGATACCGGTAAGTGAAGAAAAAACAATGTCAATGGATAAGGAAAATAAGAAAGTTAATTTTGAATGTCAAGATTGCAAATGATACATGTACCGGTAAGGGGAATCCCCCATCGCATATTTATATTGTTGTTGTAAGGTGTAATGTAAATATCAGGGAGAAGGTGTATGTTTGTATGTTTAAACATTTTACAAAATCCCATGTTTTGAAAAGATGAATAAACTTTTTTTTTACATCAGATACATCACTCAGCATCACAGCATGGGAAGAGGATAGGATCTACATGTACCCACATTCATTCAACGCCCCCTGAATATTCACAATTAAAGATATACATGTATGATTAAGATGAATAGATGTACATAGCGTAATCCATCCATATTTCACAACACCACCTGTTTCCACTTTCCACAAGATTTCAAAATATTGTTTATTTTTTTGTTCCACTCACTGCTTTCCACTGCTTCCAGGACTACATGGATAATGTTTCTTTCAATGCCCCCCCCCCCCTGCCACACCCACTCAATGCCCCTTTTCAAGACATCTCATGTACTGTAGTACACTGTAAATTAGATGTCTGGAGAACATAGACTTCATAAGTCATTATACTCAATTTAATTTGTGATTACTACTTACACAAGTCATAAATATAATTTGCGGTTAGATCTACCATTATTTAGAATCTAATGGTAACCAATTGTTTACGACCTGTGTACATGTACAGTACATGTACATGTTTTCAATTTCAATTCAGAACTTTATTTCAGACTCAACTACACAAGGCAGAGGTCCATAAAACATATGTTACATAGATATATAGGGAGTATAAACATGATGAGTATAATAACAACAAAACTATACAAAAAGTATAACTAAACTACTAGGTCTACAGTACGTACAAACAATCTAAACTCTAAAAGTAACATGTAACCTGCAAGGTTAATAAAAAAAAAAACATAATAAACTAACTCTAAGCTGTACCTGTAACTGTAAGATTAAAATAAGTACATGTATAACAATCAATAACAATCTATTGAAGTTGTATCTTGTAACAATCTGTCTCTGTTCACTAACCAGAACGATAAACTTATAATAAATAACTATTATAAAAATTAAAAAAACAACAAGGATACTGGAATCCTTGGTAACAGAAACATAATGGTCAATTGCCATGTGTCAGCAGGCTATTCAGCCAAAATCTCCAGAGGCCCGATGTGTACCTAAGACAACTATATGAGGGGTTCACTAACATCTTTAAAATACCATTCTCAGACACATCCACTCTCTGGATGAACTTATACATAAGATTTCGTAATACAGCCACATGTTGTAAGTCCATGTTCAAATAATACATTTCTGCAGAAAACATGCCAATATAAAGTTCCAGTGAATTATATTCTGGGTCAAGATTGTGTTACTTTTCACTGTTTTCAGGTCTTCTGTGGAAACAAACAAAATAAGTCGACTAGCAATGCAATGTGCAAATATATTTGTACACAAATGTAAAGCAAATGCCAATGCCATGCCATGGCTTGAAAAATAATTTTAAATGTTTTAAACTCTTTTTTTTTTAAACTCATTTGACTCCTACTACAACATTAACAGATGTGTGCTCTCTGTAAGTTTGCCACACTTTAGTTTAATAAATGTGATTAATTAACAGCATAATCACAATCAGTGAAATCAATGACAATGATGCAATTTGCAAACCATCTCATTCTCACTCCCACTCACTGAGTCCCAGTCACTCGACTCTGCACTTTAATTAATCATTTGTCTCAGCAATCCTTGCATACAAATTAACGACTGGATACCTACTTTACAACGTAGCTACTCTCATATTCATAATGAAATTGATTGGTTAAATTATGCTTCAAATAGACATGCTAGATACTCACAATCCAAGTGTTTTTTCTTCGGTCCCATCATCTCCTCGGTCGTGGCTTTGCATACCGACTTCGCCAGGTCTGATCCCGATATCGTATGACGGGCCGCCTGCATGCGATCCACAACGCTTTGTCGTCCAGACATGCTGGAAGAGAACAAGTTAAATATTAGGTCCTAGGTGAAAACAAATCAAGAACACTCTTGGAGTTTAGATGTGTGTAGTGTAGAGTAATTATATCCAAAAATGTCCTCAGAAAAGGTGGGTTGGTCTTGCCGATGCTAGCGGGGAAAACGGCACCTGTCATAGATCAGAGAATATGTAGTATATACTGTACGTGTAATTTGTAATTGCACACGTACGCGCGCACGTACGTACGCAATATCCATGAACGTTCAATTTCAATGAGAGGGCGTGCATTCGCAGAATTGACTTGCGCGCGTATGTGCGAAAAGAGGAAGTGAAAATTTCCAAGTTGACTACAGTATACTTATGTACAATCCTCAAAATGATCAAAAAATATGTGTGAAATATACAGGAATTTCTGAATATAAGCACTCAGGTCTTATAAAATAATATATGAGACTCGTTTATCCTTTTTTAAACATAAGCAGTGGCGTAGCGTGGGTCTATACGGTCTATACTCTAAGGGGCACTTGACGATGAAGGGGGGGGGGGGCTGCACTCCAGTCTATAATGAGAGTATAATCGTGGGTGATGGGATGCGGTACAGTTGGCTTGGGTGTCTTATTTTTTAATGTTTTCCCCCTTCCTTTCTCTTTCTCTCTTTTTCTTTCCACCGCTGGTTTTACTAGAAAAATGAACTTCCAAGTATTTCCATAATATATTTTTTTCAGCAGGATAGTCATCCAATCTAAAATTTTGAAGAATTGTTTATGTTCTTTTTATTAGAAAACCATTAATTTGTGTACTTACACTTTAAAGTAGTTTGCCCCACTTATACACCCCAAACTGAATTGTCATATTACATCAGCGACTGGTAGGGATGTGTATGCCTTTCCGGGGCGGCGATCCCGGGGAGGGGGTAGGGGGTGGGGGGGGGGGGGGCGGGTGGCCCAAATCATTGGTAAGTTTGATTATTATACACATTTTTCACACAAAGAAACCTACTGCTCGGTAGTAAATGAGTACTATTTTGAATTCGTTTTATTATGTTTTTTTTTTGGGGGGGGGGGGGGTACCCCCGTTCTGAACAGTATGCATTCAAATTCACAGGAGTGTTTCACAAGACTAATATTGACTTTAAGTTGGACTTAACTATGACTTAACTATGGCAGGCTGTTCATGCCACGTGTTTCAATTCTCTCAATAATGTGATCTTAAGATAGTATTTTTTCCTTCAATAATGAATTATCAGCAACAACAACAACAACAAAATCGAAATTCTCTAGATTTGTGCCCATGATTTGTACGTCCGTTGAGATACCAATGCCAGTAAATGGTGAGAGTAAACAGTGGCATGAAAGGCCTGTCAGTTAAGTCCAAACACGGGGTGGTGTTTCACAAAGACTAAGATCTTAGTGTTTCATGCCTAATACGGCCAAGGTCTGGATGCGCCACTGATCCTGGGGGCGGATGGACGGGATTAACTTATCCAATTTTATATGTAGACCATTACCTGATTGGATGACGTGCTCTGCCTCCAACGAGATACTGCATAGCCTCCACTGTGTACTGCATAGCCTGCTTCGATTTATCCATCTTCAAATCTTCTCGTGCTCTTGATTTATTCCCTTATCACCCGGCTCTGTGACATATAACATCAGTCAAAATGCATAAAAAGGTTTTTAAAATATGCCGATATTGCATATTGATAACACATTAAGAAATAACGTCTATATCCGCTTCCAAAGGATTTTTCTATTTGAATTGATTTTATTTTAATTATTTTCTTCTGCTTTCCATTTAAAAATTAATATAAAAAAATTTCGGTATCACACAAACATAAAATACTAAGAAGTACTTTTTCAAAATTATTCATAAATTAATCGATATATACATAACAACTATCAGGCGCGGATCCAGGGGGGGGGGGCCGAGCGGGCCTTGGCCCCCCCCCCCCCCCGGCAAAAAAAAAAAAAAAAAAAAAAAAGAGAGAAGAAAGGAAAAGAAGGGAAAGGGAAAGAGGAGAGAAAGGGAAAGAAAGAAGAGGAAGAAGAAAAGAAAAGGGAGAAGAAGGAGATCGGGGGGGGGGGCGAAAGGGCCTTGCCTTCCAGGCTGTTGCCCCCCCCCCCCCAATCAAAAAAATAATAGAGAAGGAAGGAAAGGGAAAGAAAAAAGGAAAATAGGAGATACTGGCGTACTGATAGAGAGGGGGGGGGGGGGCTTGGGGGAAATCAAATTCAAACGTGTTTTATTTCTAATTCCATAATTGTGGATTACAAATAATGCTGAAATGACATAATTTCCGAGATTTTTCCTCACTTTTTAGTAAATTATACTTTTTTATGCGTTTGTTGGAAAATGACAAAATGACAAATGATAAATTTACAGCCAGGCAAGAAATATGATTCTTGAGATTCCTACATGTCAGGGCCCGAGGAACGGCGGGAATCGGGAGCCTCGAGCCCCCCCCCACACTTTAACAAAAAAAGTATATTAAAGAGAAATTAAAAAAAAAAAGAAAGAGAGCAAGAAAGAAAGAATAGTTAACTGCCAGTGTTAACAAATAAAGAGGCATCAAAATATGATCATCTGACCGTGATTAAATGCCTAAAACCCCTAAGCTTCCGGGGGATCTACCCCCTGGATTCCACCTAGGGCCCTAAGGTGGGCCCTTCGATGCTCATCTGACGGTTATTTAATGCCTAAAACCCCTGATTGTGGGGGGCTCCGCCCCCTGGATCCCACGCCAAATAGTGTCCTGCCAGTGACACAAAATAATAAGGATTATAACAAAATGCTCATCTGACCGTAAATAAACGCCTAAAACCCCTGAGCTTCCGGGGCTCTGCCCCCAGGATTCCACCTTGGGCCCTAAGACGGGCCCTTCGATGCTCAGTTGACGGTAATTTAATGCCTAAAACCCCTGATTTTGGGGGGCTTTGTCCCCTTGACCCCACGCCTAAGTGTCCTGCCAGTGTGACAAAATAATAAGGATTATAAAAAATGCTCATCTGACCGTAATTAAACGCCTAAAAACCCCGAGCTTCCGGGGGCTCCACCGCCTCGACCCCACCAGGGGCCCTAAGGCGGGCCCCTGAATGCTTGTCTGACCGTAATTTATTGCCTTAAACGTCTGAGCTTCCAGGGTCGGACAAGGTATCAAAATGTGTTAATCTGACCGCAGGCGCGTAGCCAGGGGGGCGGTGGGGGCGGTGGGGGCGGTACCCAAACAATAACCGCCCCCCCCCCCTAAAAAAAAAGAGGAGAGAAAAGAAAGAGGACGTAGAAAGAAAAAGGAGCAGACAAAGAACATCTTTAAAATTCAGACAAAGATTAGTGTAGAGAACGGTACAACGCATCGTCTTCTTTCTCTAAAGATTTAAAGAAATGTAAAAGCTTCCGCGCTTCGCGCAGGAGGGGGGGGTGGGACTGAATTCAGACGAGGATTAAGAGTCGAGAACGGTACAACGAATTGTCTTCTTTCTCTAATGATTTAATGAATCGTAAAAGATTTCGCGCTTCGCGCGGGAGGGGGAAAACTGAATTCAGACGAGGATTAAGAGTCGAGAAATGTACAACGAATCGTCTTGTTTCTCTAATGATTTAATGAATCGTAAAACCTTCCGCGCTTCGCGCGGGAGGGGGAAAACTGAATTCAGACGAGGATTAAGAGTCGAGAAATGTACAACGAATCGTCTTGTTTCTCTAATGATTTAATGAATCGTAAAACCTTCCGCGCTTCGCGCGGGAGGGGGAAAACTGAATTCAGACGAGGATTAAGAGTCGAGAAATGTACAACGAATCGTCTTGTTTCTCTAATGATTTAATGAAACATAAAAGCTTCCGCGCTTCGCGCGGGAGAGGGGAACCTGTATTCAGACGAGGATTAAGAGTCGAGAACTGTACAACGAATCGTCTTGTTTCTCTAATTATTTAATGAAACGTAAAAGTTTCCGCGCTTCGCGCGGGAGGGGTGAACCTGAATTCAGAAGAGGATTATTTACGAGAACGGTACTATGAATCGTCTTCTTTCTCTAATAATTTAATGAAACGTCAAAGCTATCGCGTTTCGAGGAGGAGGGAGGGGGAAACTCGCCCCTCCCTGCACCCACCCCCCCCCCCCGCATTACGTCACTGCTGGTCACCATTACGTTTCAATTTTTGGCTCGCATAATTTCAAATTTGGGCCCCCCCCCCCTAAGAAATCCTGGATCCGCGCCTGACAACTATTATGGAAAAGAAGAAGAAGATAAATTTTCAAATTATCATAATAAAGTGGTTAACAATATTATTTTGCGTAAGAAAGACTGCCATTGTAAGTAAATTGCTTGAAAATATGACAGCTCAAAACAAATCTTATGAAATATATGAACATTGTCTTCTAAGCAGAATGGACAAATAATTGAAAGCATATGGATAATGATGATGATGTTGATGATGATGATGATGATGATGGTGACGATGTTGCTGCTGTTGATGATAATGATGATGATGATTATAATGAAGAAATATATACAGGGATGATAAACTATAAATTATAATAATATTATGGCAAATACTCAAAAGTTGATAAAGAAATTTTACCATGAACCTTTTTACATCATTACCCCCAGTATAGTTACGGTAACCTATTTATAATGCTCATAACATTCATGGAATAAATCCTACCAAGTATTTACTAAACCAGGGGCGAGCAATGTAGATTAAGGCTTTGTCAAAGTACCGTTAGTGGGAGGCAGGGATTCAAACCATTATGGCTCACAGTCCGGAGACTTGACCACTGAACCGCATCACTACAGGGATATAAATTTCCACTGCGCTCAAATTGAATATGTTTCTTGAAGGAGCGACCGGGGTATAATCGTTTGTGGGGGTGTTTCACCAACCCCCCCCCCCCCCCCTCCGAAAAAAATGACTGCATGGAGTTGATTCGCCGCTTTGGATGAGCATGCGATAACACATTAAAAAAGTATGCATAAGTCGCACCTTTGGAAATATAATGCCTTACGCATTTAATATTTTTGCACGCCTTTTGACCGTGAAGAAGCGGACGGGTCCAGGATTTCCGTGTATAAGGCGGGGGGGGGGGGGGGGGTGGTACACGCACATCCTTTTATATACGCCTATTCTGGGGAAGTATACAAAAAACGAACCAAACCAAAAAGATATCTATAATGACATAACATAGCAATACAAAAGACCCCAAAAACAAGAAAAGAAAGGAAGAGAAAGAAAGGATAATAAAATTGAAGAAAAAAACAAAGCAAAAGGAAAAAGAAAAAAAACGAAAGTTTTTTAAAAATCTGACAAAACAGATCAAAACAAAACCAACAACAAAAACAAAGCGATTCGTGTCGGGCCTCCCCCCCCCCCCCTCATCGATCTACCTCTGAAAGGCATACAGAAGAACAGTTCAACAAAATGTGCACTTTTTATTGACTGTTATGACGTGCCAACTCCTGCAAGCCATTATTATGAATTAGCATACCCCTTTTTCAGGGGAACACATGCCAATGTGCTAGAAATTAGAGATAATGCCGATGAAATGTCAAAATAGCCCGGTTCAATATTGCATATTTCATAGAATAGTATGCACTTTATACACAATTGACACCCATTACGAATATTCCGTTCACGTGCTAAACAATTATTGATTGATCGATCGGCAGAATGGTTATTAAACGCATGGAACATATAGCAACCATCCGGCTGAATTACTTTCGTTATTAAAGATACATAGAAAATAATGTTAATTATTACGCAATATCTGAATATACATTGAAAAAGCGAAATATGAATAACTATTGTATTAATTACAGCATCGAATTTTATGAAAGGATGTTCAACTATCATTAGGGAAATAGAGTTTTCAGATGATAAAAAATGTCCGATTCGATAATATTCTTGCATCACTGGACCATTATCAGTGGAGGATCCAGGTAGGGGTAGGGGGTCAGGCTCTGTCCCGCTAAAATTCATTCTGGCATTCCTAAGAACTAAATGTGCCCTTTAATGTCAGAGATTCTTCGAACTTGTGCCCCCCCCCCCCCCACCCTGCTGGATCAGCCTCATGTGTTCTATAATATTGATACAATCACTGATGTAGTTTGCTTTGGAGGCAATTATTTTGTTATATTGCCAAATTTTGATTAAAATGTTACCCCTATTCATTTATTCCTTTAAAAAAAAAAATCTTTCAATCTTTTGTCAGGGTATATCCTGAAAGGATTAATCTTGTTATCCTCTCCTACATTATTCGGTATTCAGAAATACTCCTCACACCATTGCACTGCATAATGCGTTTTCACCATTACTGCAAGCGGTGTACCACTAAATCCCAACAATATACAGAGACCAAGGAAATCCAATATACCTCATTTGAGCACGTTTACGTCACAGTATCTCCGTGTATTATTTTAGACGAGTCTTGGTTTCAAGTTTGGACGCCAGCTGCATCTATACGGACCCTGCACACTGTCATCTAGGTGAGATATTAACTCACTTCTTGCGGATTGACTCTATGCTGTATTCGCCTTCCAAAGTGGACCTGCATGCATAGCACGTTCTGAAATGTGACAACTTTTCAATGATGAAATTCTATTTATAAAATTATGTCTGGTATATATTAACAAACTGGTATTACCCGTCTTGAAGACATTATGACGTCGCAGAACTCACTCGAACGCTTTCCCCAAAACATTATTATAGAGCTGCATGGGAATTTCTTTGTGGTCCAGTGGTATTGAAGATGATAATTATTGTAAGCACTATCAATGAAATCCGTGAAAAATCTCTTTGCTGAGTCTCGTTATAAATATTATTGCAAGTCACCAGATATTAGAAATCCTTTATTCACCAATCGTAACCCGAATATCCTCATATACCAACGACGTATACTATTATTATACTCCACTATGTAGCTCCAAAGAACGGCTCCAATGTCCAAAGTGCAGGATCCAGTAACATTAATGGTTTCCGTCGTGGAGTCATCGACAGACGATGATTATATGGCTTCCTCTCCCATTATATGGTTTCGCACGGGACTCGCCAAAGGAAGTCCTGTTAATTAGATAGTATTAATCTAAGCAACTTCTTCCCCTCATAATGTTATTCCCGATTCCGTATTCCGAGCGAATTCCTCCTCCTCCAGAAAAATATTGGAAATCTTGAAAAGTACTCTATCCCCCTTTCGCGCCCTGCACAGCCTTGCGTGGGAGCATTAATAATGCCTTAACCGGAGGCACGAACTTGATGTAATGTCTGCAGGTTGGTCTCTAATGGTATTTGGAAGAAAAGGTCGAGCGAAGAAGATGGGAAATGCAGAAACTTGAGACGAGGTTTCCCTCCTATACCAAAAAACCTGGATTATTGAGCAGAAGTTCAAGTCAGGGTGTCCCCGAATGTTCGTGTGACCCCGAGGGAGAGAGATGCAAAGCTGCACCGTGACGTGTAGGCCTAAATACTATAAATACGATGACAGCATTATAAACAAAACCTCTGTACTGGTTTTACACAGATCAATAATGGAAATCAGTATACATGCCAATAGACCAAACTCGCAAATTAGTCCTATTTGTATGGGACGATGCCAAGCTATCTAGTTTGTGAAATGGAATACAATCAATAAAGTTTTCCCTCTGTGATTACAGTGGCTGCATAGATTTGCATATCACGACATTCTGTATTTGTAATCAGCAGTAACATCATCATGTACTATAATATATACAACCATTATCGAGTGTTAAAAGGTTAGAAAAGATGTCACTCTTCTTTTAGCTCGAATAAGATATTGAATAAACATTGTGTCTTAACTGTCCTTCTCATTAGTTTAATTTCTTTCTAACTGGCAACACATTTAATCTACATCTACCATTACAAAATAAATATTCTTCCCTCTCTGCCTCTTTTGAATTTCTTTCTGTCTTTATCCTTTTCTTTCTCCAACTCTCTTTTACACTCCTTCTCCCCCTTCTCTCCTCCCTCTCTCTCTCTCTCCCTCTCTCTTTCTATCTCTTTCTCTCTCTGTCTACTAGTTTTCCCTCTTCTCTCTCTCTCTCTCTCCCTCTATATCTCACTATATCTTTCTCATTGTCTCCTCCTCTCCCGCCCCTCTCCCGCTCCTCTATTCCCCCTCCCCCTTCCCCTCTTCCTTCTCTCTCTCTCTCTCTGTTTCTGTCTGCCTGTTTCCCTCTCTTCAATAATCTTCCTTAGATACCCACACTCGTGTTCATTATTAGTTTGCTGGCTCTCGATTCTCCTTCTCCTTGTAACACCCAGTCGTTATACACAGGAGTTAGTGGAATTGATTATTTGTTGGTGACGGAGAAGTTCAATTAGCACAGTGTTCTAATTTTACCAGAAGACATGTCCCCAGCATTCGCTATTAATTTTATTCACTGTATACTGCCTTGTATATACTTTTCGGTCAAGTACTGCAGCATGACTCAAAATCAAAGACTAATTCAAAATAATATCATATCATAATGGTTCAAAATGATAAAAAGATAATAGCATATAATATGAATATATTGTATATTTTCTGTTTGCATTTTTTAATTCAATATTTAACGAAATTTACATTAAACCAGTGAGAGTAAGTTGAAACTCTAAACATCTTCAATCCAGCTGTTTTATTTACCACAGTATATACTATATATTTCTAAAACCGTGACGGTCGAATTGCAAATTGAATTATTTGTTATGTAATTAATAAAAACGATGCATTTTCAACATTTCATCATTAGACGAGCTCTGAAAGCAAACTGCACGAGCATAAGGTTGCCTCTCCTCGAACTATATACACAATGCCAACATTTCCAGACGAAGTTCTTTGTGTCAAAGTAAGAAGGGAAGGGGCGGGATTTCCGGAAGTAGTTGTCAAGGAGTATCAGAGGCGTAGGGGGGGGGGGGTCTGAAGCCCCATATCCCCCGATAATTCTGAAATGACTATACTCGATCATGCCACCATCGCAGTTACAGACAGTGAGGTGGTCTCTTCGTAATCGTATATTTTGTAACTTGTATTTTGTAAATTGTATCTTGACACATCATTAAAATGATAAGGAAGTTACTGATACCAGCCCAAGAGGCCGGAGAGGGGAATTAAATTAAACTTATGAGCAAATACGGATAATCGTTTTCATTATAGTTTCTATTATAATGGTTCGATATACCAACTACTTTGCAGTTGTGCGTATAATGATCTGAATATTTTGTTCTTCTTTTAATGATGATGGTCACGGGTTTTGCATCATATTCAGCGAAAAATTATGATACCGAAAATGCATTTTAGGGCGGTTTTATATAATTTATCCTTATTACCAGGGGTGGCGATTTCTTTTCATGACTGGGGGACGAAATGCGAGGGACCAGGGAGCAGTGGCGTTTTTGTTTGTTTTCATTGTCACTTTTTTTTTTTTTTGAGGGGGGAGGGCAGAAAAAAAAATCCGCATCACCTCCACTCTTACATGTTTTACTTGTAGGCCCCGCGGAACATTTTTCAAAGTGGGTGGGGGGGGGGGGCGGCTAAGTATTTACGATCAGGTCAGAGCAAAGCGCGAATCAAGTGGAGCGTAAATTGGCGTGGGGTCCAGGGGCATAGCCCAATGAAGCTCAGGGATTTTAGGCATTTAATTACGATCAGATGAGCATCGAGGGGGCCGGCTTAGGGTCCTATCTAGTACGGTTAAGGGGGCGGCGCCCCCGGAAGCTCAGTGGTTTTAGGCATTTAATTACGTCGGATGAGCATATTTTGATACCTTATTTATGGCACTTGCATGCAGGTCACTAATTGGAGTGGGGTAAAGGGGACGTAAGAGGTTTTAGACATTAAATTACGATCAGATGAGCATCCGGGGGCTGCTTTAGAACCCTTGGTGGGGTCCAGTGGGCAGAGCCCCGGAAAATCAGGTTTAGGCATTTCATTACGGTCAGATGAGCATCTAGGGCCTGCCTTAAGGTCCTGGTGGGGTCCCGGGTGCGGATCCCCCGGAACCTCAGGATTTGTAGGCATTTAGTTACGGTCAGATGAGCAACTAGGGGCCCGCCTTAGGGCTTTTAAAACATTCTTAAAACTTTTTAAAACATGCCATTTCAGCAACATTTGTAAATCACTGGTACCGTATTAGAAATAAACTACGTTTGAATTTATTAGGGGGCAACTGTCTCAAGCCCCCCCCCAATCATTACGCCAGTGCGAGGGAGCATAGAAAACGAGAGAGGTAAAGGTGACGTAAGTGACTACCCTCTCACTGGTTTATGAAGTTTTGTTGTATTAAAATACTTCCTTAGCAAAACTATACTATAAAAACCAGCAATTTCCTTTTTTTTAAACAATATTTACCATTTTTTACTTGAACACTTGGCGAGGGAGCATATAGGTACCGAGCGAGAAGATTTTTGCATTTTTATTTGTCTAAACGCTGCACTCTTGGGCCCTCCAGAGCCTTAAAGTTTGTTGCAGTCTTTAGTCAGTATTTGCTATACATACTTTTTCTCACTTTTTCAAATTTTCCGGGGGAGGGGGGGGGGGGACGATCCCCCCTAAAAAAAAATCGAGGGGGACGTGTCCCCCCCCCCCCCCAACACACCTACACCCCTACTACACACCTATCCCGCTGGCAGCTTTCTTATCATTTCCTCATACTGCATAATTTAAAAAAAACAAAAAAATTGCAAACAAAATTGCAACCAATTAGATGTTATTCAAGAAACTAAACAAAAATGGATGGTAATCTTTTTCTCAATAGAAGCTTACGATAATTATTTTTATGAGATATTTAAAATAAATTATATATCATCAAAATAAGCGAGCGAGCTTTGGACAAATTTGAGTACAAATTACCCTCAGTTTCTTTGAATTAGGGTTGCTGCTCGTTCAAAGGATTTTTATCATTTCTTTAGTTATTGAGTTATTGTAGCGGAATCTATCATTATGCCTACAACAAGGCTATCTTTCTTTTGAGATAGGAATGACGATGGAAACGTAGCTAAAAGGGGCACTTATCAGTTATCTAAAAAAAAGATAAAAAAAAAAGACTCTTCATAAACAAATAAGGATATTTCGTGGGGGCGGGGGGGGGGGGTAGGCCCTACTTGAAAAAGTGGCGCCACTCTGCCCCCTGTCCCGTTAAAATTGTTCTTAGGGTAAATGGCCTGGGTTTAAATTGCTCTTGGGGTAATTGACTTCTCCCGGGGTAGTTGCTGGGGTATTATTTTTGTCTCTTCTTTTGCAATTATTAATTGCCCTGTCGCGTCGAGAGCAAAAAGAAAACACACAAAATTGAAAAAGGAAACAAACAAAAAAGGAAAAAAATAAAGATGGCGGAGAACCTGCGAGATGCTCTACGCGATTTCGCCCTCCAAAAGATGCGTGATCTTGAAACGGAGAGAGCTCAAAAGTAACATTACCATATTACTCTATTCATGCAGTCTATGAGTTTTTGATGTGTTAAATGATTGTCAATGCATACTAAAGATCTAATGGTTAAACGTCATTTTATTATCGAAATATTTTGTTCGTCGCTGTGTAGCTGTGTTTGTACTGTAGCGCTGCGCGCTGGCGGCCCGCGTTGAGCGGCCAGCGTTATTTTTTTATGCGGCACAGATTGGGGCATGGCGCGTGTTAAACCTATGGGAAGTACGTTCTTTCCCTTCTGAATAGTGTCTGCACGTACGTGAGACTAGTCATGTTCGCTAGCGCATTAGCGCTGCGAAGAAGTTTGTTTATCCATCGCGAACTATGTGCTTAGATAACATTTCTCTTCGTTTAAGTTAGTTATGTTTTATTGACTAATTATTGTGATGTTCTCCTTATTGACGTACTGCCTCCTCTTCAGATTTACAATTTCATTTTAATTGTTGATGTAATGATTTTCCATACGGTAGTGGATTACATGTCACACTATTAAAAACAGACCTCTACTACTAGTACGCACACGGTACGCACACGAACACTATTAGTCTGTAAATAAAGACCCCTTTAAAAAAAAAGCCCCAATCTGTGCCGCATAAAAAAATAACGCACACGGGCCTAGCCCTAGGGCTCAAGTTATGCCGGGTCTTCTAGTGTTGGCGTGGCTGCGCAGGGCATCCGCTCCAGCTTGTTGTAAGTCCTATGTGATATCTGTATGTTGGTGTTGTGACTGAGCTATGGAAGTTAGGTGAGGAAATGGTTTTGGAAACTACTTTCTCGTCTGCGCCCACACTTACTTGTGTGTGATAAACTGTGAATACTAGAGGGTCTATGCCTTTTTAATGGGGTGGGAAAAAGGAGACAAATGATGATAGTGTGAAGCAATGAAGCACTACTGTGCGGAGCGAATGGTGGTTTTCTGTTTCATGATAATGTCTACAGAAGGGGCGCTGGTCTGACAATGAGGATCGTTCGCATAAACGAGGATATCCTCGTAAACGCGGACAAAAACAGAAAAGCGTCCTAAAATATATGGATTGTCCGTATTTTCGCTGATGTTTTTTTTTGTTTGCTCTGCAGGTTTTGGGTTCCCCCCAGTTCACCGTCTTACTTTTATGGGTTGTCCATCTTCCCGGGGATTTATCGCTCATAGCCTGAATGTCTCTGTACAAAGTTTAATGTGAAATGCATCGTGGAATTCTTTTTTTGCATTGCCAAGTTGGCGATGCAAAAAAAGAGGACGCCAACGCGCGGATCAGAAATCAGAATTGTCAGCGAAAATGCGGACGATTCTTATAGTTGTGGATGCATCTGTCCGCGTTTACAACTTTAGACGACTCTCGTTTACGCAGACGATACTTAATCTCTGACCAGCCCTCGCGTTCCTTCTGGTCTAGGTTTATTATGCTTTAAGGCTTTATTAATATACACACATGTAAGGCCGAAGTAAAGTTAGGCTTGGTGATGCATGAAAACTGAAATTGAATGATGATAGCACCAAGCCTTTTGGTTTAATTGGCATGCATGCTATTGGCCTGCGCCTGTGACACACTGCTTTGTGGAGATCCATGTAAACAAAACCTCAAAGAGGCTGTTCACACCGCAATAAGATAGCGCGGTCTATCGTAGCACCCCTTTTTTTCTAGCGCGCGCTAGCCCGCGCTATCTCTCGTGGACCACCCCCAAGAGGTGCTCCAGTGTTGGCTCGCCGTGGCTCGCTGTTGGGCGGACCGAAACGACGTTGTACCTTCTAAACCGCGAAGATAGCGCGGTCTGGCGCGCGCTATCTCTGCCGGTGTGAACAGCCTCCAATTTGGATGTAAGCCCCCATTCCTGCACATAACACACCTTGCAAACTTTTTAAAACATTTAAAGTCACCATCCAAAGTGCAAGACTAAAGAGGAACTTGGGGTATTGTTTTGGAAAGTACTGCATTCCTGTGTGCTGCATATTCTTCATAACTTCATAAGCTGTATTTTTCTCTTTTCTTTTTCAGGAGCAAAAAAGATGACGATAGTGATGGTAAAAGTCCGAAGTCAACGAAGATCAAAATCAACAGGGTTACCTCCAAGATGATATCAGGATCATCAAAGAAAGCTGAAGATTCACAGGCAGTCAAGTCGGATTCCACAAAAAACACCAAGCGACATCTTGATGAATCCACTTCAGGAGACAGTAGTAAAGTACAGAAACTCATGAGGCTGTATGAGGAAGATGCATCCATCGCAGTGACGTCTGCAGCTGGGAAAGGAGGCAGTGGATCTGTCAAGTCACCACCTGTACCATCTGTACCCAAGAGAACAGATTTTCTTGCGAATAATGAAGCATTTATAAAAAAACAGGATGGGACAGAGAACAAGAAACTTTCTGGATCGACAAAGTTCATGAAAGAAGAGTCCTCAAAGGATCAGCTTCAATTTAAGAGCTTACAGTTGGGCAAAAAAGAAGAGTCTGATGTTGAAGTGGGTGCAGAGAAGAAGAGTGTACCAATGTCAGGTGAAAAGAAAATGATCAAGATAAACATCCAAACTAAATTGTTAGAGCTGCAACAAGAACCAGAGAAGGTGGCAAAAGATGGCTTGGACTCTGACTCTGACAGCAGTAGTGATGATGATGGTAATGATAGTGATGATGATCAGGTTGCTGCTGGGCTGCCATGGAGGACCATTCTAGAAGATGGAGAGCTAAGCGAATCATCACATGAAGAGGAGGAGAAGCAAGAAGGAGATGTAAAGGAGACAGGTGGGAATGAGGAGAAGGCTATAGAAGAGGAGAAAGAAGTCTTAGAAAAGACGGGGGAAGATAAGAAAAAGTCTTCCAAACACAAGCACAAGAGCAAACACAAGAAGCACAAACATAAGAAAAGCAAAAAGAAAAAGAGTAAGCACAAGCACAAAGACAAAAAGCGAAAGGATAGTGCTTCTGATTTGAAGAATGAAGGAGGGACTACTTCCGAACAAGGGACAAGAGAAGAGAATGATTCAAAAGCATCAGGAAATGAAATAATTGACATTAAACATGAAGGAGATAAAACAAGCTCTAGCAGGAGAAGGAGCAAAGATGAAAAGCAGAAGGAATCGCGACAAAAAGATGAAAAATTGGAAGAGAGAAAAAGGCAGAGTAGTTCAAGTTCCAGTAGAAAAACTAGTGAAGAGAGGGAAGCAAGGGGACTAAGGGATGAGGACCCCTTGAAAGAAGATGTGAAGAAGGACAAAAAGACTAGAAATGAAGAAAGAAAGGAAAAATCTAGAAGTCATAGTGAAAGTAGAAGTTGCAGCAAAGAAAAGAGTCATACAAAGGATGCGAGAGAAGACGATAAGAGAAGAAAGGATCAAGTTAAGGATAAAGAAGAAAAGAAAACCGATGACAAGCATGAAAGAAGGTCAAGGAGCATTGAGAAGCTGTCCCATGATGAAAGTTGTGAAAAACCTGAGAAACTTGAAGAGGATGATAAATGTGTGCCTTTATCAAAACAATTAGAAGGAAGTACTAGTGGGACGAAAGAAAAGCAAGCTGAACACCAAAAGGAAGAAAGTAAAAGTGTTATGGGAAGTGATGAGAAGGCAAAACCTTTTAAGATTGATTCAAAGGAAGAAAGCAAGACCATAAGAGAAAGTACAGACCCTACACATGCAGGAGGAAGTTTCACAATAATGTTTTCCAATGATGATAGTGTCAAGACTCGCATAAGCAGCAAAAGTGATTCAAGTCACAAAAGTGAAAAGAATAATCATGATGAGAGAAAAATGAAGGAAGAGGAGATACAAAAAGAAGACATGAGGAAAAGCTTTAGAAGAGAGGAGGAGAAAAAGGATGCTACAAAAGAGAAGAGTCGACATGAGGAAAGTAGGAAAGGAGAAAAGAGACACAAGGAGAAAAGGAAAGAGAAAGACAGGGAAGATAAAAAGCAGGTCCACTCCAAGAAGCATCAGGTATCGACCAAAGTTAAGATAGACCATCTTGAACATGACTTTCCATCTGCAGAAGAATATGCTGAGGATCCAGGTGATAAGGTCCAGTCTGGAAAGAAGGATGATATGAAAAGTGAGGTGTCAACTTTAGATGACACCCAATCCTCTGAAATCCAGGCAGCTCTTGCCAATCCTATTAAAGTGGTTGTGCCACCATCGGATGATGCCCATGCAGAAAGTTCTGTCAAAGGAAAGGAGAAGTTAGAAGAAGAAAATAGGTCCGCAGATAATACTGAAAAGCAAGCAGATGTCACCTCTGGAACTAATGCAACTAATGAGAGTGAATCCTCAATGAACTCATCTTGTGCAGAAAAATCTGAAGTGACTCGAGATGAACGGTCATGCCCCAGTGATACTGCTGTCAAAGATAGTGCCACCACAGCTTCTTCTAGGCAGATAGAGTTCATTAGTGTGAAGGACTCGCCAACACCTGCTAAACAGCTTGAGAGTTCTGCCACCAAAGTGGAGACTGTTTCGAAGATGGGAATAGAGACTAGTGGTGATGTTGAGGACTCAGAAGTCATTGATAATACAGAAGCTAAACTCTCAAAAAGTTCAGAAAGTGCCGGACACAAGGAGGGCACAGAAGACTCCTCCATCTGTGAGCAGAAAGAAGATGGTGCTGTTAGTACAACTTCATCCACAGAAAAACCCAACAAGAATGCAGAATCTATTGAAAAGGCAGTGGAGAACAAGGATGTACTGAAAGAAAGTGACAAAACTTCAAAGAAGAGGAAAAAAGACAAATCAGATGACAAAGAGGAAGGAGCAATCGACAGTGAAATTGAAGAAGGTGAAATTACTAAAAAGCACAAGAAAAGCAAGAAGAAGGATAAGAAGAAAGATAGAAGTGAGAGGGATAAGAAAGACCGAACGGAGAGAGACAAAAGTGGTCGAGACAGAAGTGATCCCAGAGATAAACACAAGAGGAGGCATTCTGATTCGCGTTCAGAGTCGCGTTCTCACTCCCGTTCTCACAAAAAACACAAAGGATCACGCTCAAAATCACGTTCTGATGATGATGGTGATAGCGATATAAGCATTGGAGCAACAAAAATGGTGGAAAAGAGTTATTTCAGTGAATCACGAGGCTGCTGGGTAACTCGGATGGTCCCTAAAGAAGACGATAGTCCATCTCCTGAAGTTGGCGATGGAAACGAACCATATGACATTGGAGACACCTACATCCGTCATCCTGCTCATGACAGAAGAAGCGTGTTTGACAGACTTGGTGGCGGGAGCAGCAGTCGTGGTAGAGGTCGTTACAACGACCGACATGATGATAGGAATCCGCGCTATGGATACAGTCGTAGAAGGGGACGTTCATATTCGAGGTCACATTCTAGGTCGCGTTCAAGGTCAAGATCCCCAAGTTTCATATTGACAAGAAGAAACTGTTGGAGATTGCCAAGGCTAACGCTTTAATGAGAATGAGAGCAGGAGACCTGCCATCTAACTTGCCTATTACTGAATCCATGAAGAAAGCAGCCGACTCATGTAAGTTGACTTCTATTCATATATATATATATATATATCAATTTATGACCTGAAAACATACACTTGTATTCAAATTAATGCAACAAATAAGTTGTAAGATATTTTGAAGTACTAGTAAAATTTTTGTTCAGATTCACCAATGTATACTTGTGTCTTCCATTATTTGTAATATACATGTACCTGTAAAGAATGTTCAACATTTTGCCAAAGATCTGATGCAAACATTTATTAATTGACTTGCACAGATCTAATGATTATTTCTCATTCTTGTGAGCATTTTCAGATTACAATCCAGTCAATTTAATGAAATAAACTTGAAAATGTTGATGAAACAACAATGGGGTACATGTGAGGCAGTGCAAGTAATTAACGCAAATCTTCCCAATCTTTCTGTGAGCTGTTCAAGTATCAAAACTTTCATTGCAACCATTTTTAAACTGCTATTGTAGCCATCACTTGCATTGATGCTAATGCTCCTGTAATTGTTATCATTGATCAAACAGTTGAAGTCAACGAATCCATCCAGAAGTTCACTGACCGATGCAAGGCATTGGCTAATCTTCAAGGAGGCAGTTCTGACGATGACTCACCGGTCAACAGACCAGTGGGCTCAGATGACGAAGATGAAGATGGGAACGAGGCTCAGAAACCGTTTGTGAGACATCCTTTCAAGGTCAAAGAGGCTGCTCCCATCGTGATGAACATCAGGGTAAATGAATATTAAACCATTCGATCCTTTCCATACTGCTCTTACATTTATAACAAATGCTGTTAAATCTACAAGTGAACCGGTAACATTGTCGATGAAAAAACTGCATAATTTTACTATGAAATGTTACTTATTATATTCCTTCTACTGTACTAACCCTCTAGCAAAAAAATCCTGAAAAAAAACCTCAAACCACAATGATATTTATGGTTTTCTTTGAAGGCGTCACTGTACGACACCCTCTAACAGTAAATTCTCCCCGAACAATTTTTTTCCATGAAAAGAAGACATCAAACCGGCTTTGAAAACTATTTCAACACTTAAATGTTTGGAATGGTAAATATAGTCGATACATTGCTTTGTGACAATTTACTTTCATTGAAAATTTAATTGAGTTATAATAATATAGTTGGGAGGATAACAAGTCCTTTGAATATCACGTAGCACATAACATTTCTTTAGATGATAAATGGGTTGTAAATGTAAATGGGTTGAGAAGGTTGGAAAGGTCACAAGAAAAGAGTGAAATATGAGGAGCAGATGTTTCTAATATCTCCTAAACCCCACTTTCCTCCAAGCCGATTCATAGTGTGCTTTAACGATTTCTAACACTTATTATAATTTCAGAATGCAATCCAGATTCCTGTGGCCAGTAAGGACAAGCTGAGAGTACAGTTCCCAGTGTCGTGTGGCTCTCAACATCGTAAGAAAGAAGTGGAGATTGTGATTGGCAATGCAAACGATCCCTATGGCCAATGGAAAGTGAGTATGATTGCTGCGTGGTGGGTTCGCTTGAAGATACATTCATCCATTGATGACCCCTAGCTATTACCCACATACATTATTTAAACCCTCCTGCCACCCCCTGACAACTATTTCTAATTGTAGGTGATATTGAAGTACATGTAGTGTTTTGGAATGATGTGAGGGTGGACATAATTAAATTCAATTTCAAATTCTATTTGGTCAAGTTCAAGTTCAACTTTCAACTGGTCGGGGAACTATGCCTCCACAAGGCTATTTGGCTTGATTTTTTAGTTCCCTATTTTCATTTTCTTATATATTGCAAATGCTTATCATTGTTTATATCTTTGTATTGTTTTTATTGAAAATGGAAATGAATAAAACGAATTGAATTGAATTGAATTTCAAGCTTAATAAGCAATAATCAGACTTTATTTGCTTGTACATGTAAGTCAAGTGCTTGTGTATTTCTCTGATAAAGTATTTTCATTATGATGTAGAACTTACATTCTTTTGATGAATGTGAGGAAATTAGATTAAGTTTTGTACTACTTAGCTTGACTTAATGATTTTGATTAACAGACTGTGGAGAAACCCACGCCTAAACCAGCGGCAGCACCAACCACAAAAGCTAGTACTCCCCAACCACCAGCAACACCAGCAACACCAGCAACCACAGCAGCAGCAACACCAGCAGCCACACCAGCAACTCAGACCACCCCAGCAGCAACAGCCATGGCTCCTGCCGTTGCTGCCACTGTTGCTCCTGTGGTAGCTGGCCCTCACATTCCGGGGCTGACCAACAGCCAACCACCACAGCCAGTACCAGAGAAAGATAAAGTCTTTGAAGATTCACCAGGATTCGTGAGTACTTCTTATTCTGCAGTGCTCTTAGTTTCCATTGTAATCTCACATGTAGGCTCTTCAAGTGTGAATCATACAAACAGAATAAACATTGTCTCAAAACTGTCTTCTTACGCAATAATAATACAGCAACATACGTGTACATGTATGCAACAGTTATGAGTGTTAAGTGTTAGATTTTATGCTTATATTGCAAACAAACACTGCCCTTTAACATGCAAGTAGGTTGTCAAGGTTAGTCAAACTTACCAGTAAACACATACTTTTATTTCATAGGGCTGATAGATCAATTTATCATTCATACCAGAAGAATACATTGCAATAATGGCTTGTTGCCTGATAACCAACATCTTTTGATTATACTGCGTACAGCATGATTATACCCAAAACAAAAGTAAATGCACTTGAAAAATCTTGACAGCCTCGATGTGTGGAAAGTATTGTATGGAGAAGGAGGCGCAATACCTCAGTCGGTAGAGTAGTGGTCTCGTAATCCGGTGACCCGGGTTCAAAACCTAGTTGATGCGCTAGTGCCTTTTGGTAAGGCATTAATCCTCATTACCAGGTCCCTCGGAGAGGACCTAAAGCCGTTGATCTTCTGGTTGCTTACTATTAAAACAAGCATTTATTGCTTTCTCAGCTGTCAGGTACAATAACCACCACTATCTATATAACTTCTATTTATTTTTTACAAATATCAATTGGGGGGAAAAGGTCTTTGTATTGGTTATCATTCTGCCTATCACACTTTCATCTATTTTTTGCATTTTTTGTTTTTGTGGCTATTTCATTTAGAAATACATGTGTTTATTTCTTTTGTCATTTTTCCCTGCAGTCCTACGACATCGGCCAGATTGTGTCTGCTAGATTGAAGGCTGCTAGGGCTCTGCAGTCCAATCCTAATAACGTGGAGGCACTCACTGTTCTACATCACTCACAAAAACAGGTCAGTTGAAAAGAATCTTTCTACTTAGTAACATTCAATTCAAGCTACTGTTAAACAGGTGGAGTAGGGACAAATTTGAAGGGTGTTCTGACATACTTATCCCCTGAGGAATGATTGAGAACCCTATTTATTTATTTTGTTCTTGATAGATGTTTATGCATTATTACAGAGAAAAGAAATTATGCTCAAACAGTCTCTCATATCGTGCACAAAGAAGGGTTTTAAAGTATAACTATGACTTCTTCCGTTTTTGCCTTAAGAAATGTGTTTTGTAATTATTGGTGATGGTGTTCCGTATATCACCCAAACTTTACAATTGTAAAAAGTGGGAAAGTAGTAACTTGAATTTTGTCACTTAAACTTGTATCTAATGCAACAATACAATATATAAATTGTGAAAAATTGAGTTTTTTGAAATGCAAACAGATAACATAATCTTTAACCATTTGTTGTTTTCTGTTTGTTAGATTCAGACCTGGGCACACAGCAGCAAGAAACCTGGTTTGTTCACGGGTAGCACAGACGCTACCTTCCTACGACCTGAAGAGCTTGGTAATCCCAATCGCAAAAACCAGGCTTGGATTAGGAAGGTTCGTATTCACCAAGAAACCAGGTTTTAAACCTTCAAACTGATCTAGGGACTATTTGACCATGCTAGGAATGAATCAACAATAGGCAGTGTTTACTTCTTGAATAATTCTTTTACCTAGTCACATCTATTTTGCATTGACTGGTCATTTCTGTGAGAGATTGAATGGGCTTTGTGTAAGATTTCTCTTATCTTGTATCTTTCTTTTCTGTTTTACTTTCCTCTTAACTTCAAAATTCTCTTACCCCTCCTGATCCCAATTATTAGTTGTTACAAGAAACTACATGTAGAAATCAGGAATCTAGGTAATACAAGGAATAAGACCATCATTGTCATAAATCTAAAGTAGTAAAACAATTAAAAGGAAAATCTGACTATTATTAAATGTTGTAATTGAGTTGCATTACCAAACTTCTGCATATTGAAAAAGAAGCAAGACTTTCTTGAATCTTGAGACATCACTCACGCGGAAGTTTGGTGATATATCTCAATTGATCTCATATATCCTTGTCACCTGTAACATGTTTCCAGTGGTAGTCTACATTCATGTTAAGTTGACACCCACATTTTAGAAAATGTGGGTGTATGTTTCTGTGGCCTGTAAGAACAGGTGTGTAAATTTCCACACAAAAATCCACAGAAATTAATGCTTTGCCTTAGTAGCTTTAGACTCATCTGGGAACAGGGTTTGTACCCTAACAAGTAAGGGTAGTGAAACAAAAAGCTCTGGAGAAAGAGATAGTGGAGGTGGAGTATTATGAGCTCATAAAACCCCAACATCTGCTTTTTCACCAATATTGATATAAATTCTTCAATACTGACAACAATGTAAGGACCACTTTTATGTAAATGTCTGTTTAATACTGGTAGTACTAGTATTCAACATGCCATTTAAAAATGGCTACACACCCCTTTTGTTGAAATGTTGTCTTCCACTCTCTGTCATCTCTCCAGTGGGACAACATGGCCTCCTCTTTGGCCATGGCATGTCCCATTGGAGAGATGGGGGTGGCAGCATACATTTCTCTGACTAGACTGGAAACTTGTTACAGGTTATAAACCAATACGACGGCGCAGTAATAGCCACGAGGAGAAGAATGTGGAGCTGCAGATGAAACTTGAATAAGAAACGGACATCGTGATGTAGAGTTGGTGGGTAAGGAGCGTTTCATTTTAGCACTCTAATGCAGGAAAATGGGCCCACAGATTCTGCATTTGTATTTTTATTTGTGATGACCAAATGCTATTTTTTTAAATAAAAACATGATCGCAAGACATTAAAGTGTGTGTCAAACTGAAAATAACTTCTATCTATTTGATTCTGAGCTTGAGGATGTTTTATGATGTCTAAAGTTGAAGAACAAATATATTTAAGATATACTAGTTTATATCATTTATTTTAAAAGACAATGGCAAAATGACTTTGAGTGGCTTACCATAGCATAATAATAATGATAATAATAAATTTATATAGCGCAGCTTTTATATAAAATACACTCAGCTGCGCCGGTTCATAGCATGATAAAATATCAAAGATATGTAGATCATAGCTTTCTATTCCTTAACAGAGGACTCGGAGTGTTATTTTATGAAAGCAAACTTCATTCTTTAGAAACTGCACTGCACCTCAACAGTACGACAATACACCTGACGGTGGCCTGTACTGCTACTGAAGAAGAAGAAGAAACTGATGTGTGTGGGCCCATTCCTTGTGCTTAAATCAAACACTCCTTTCAAGTCATGAGGGATTTTCATGTGGTGTCTTTTTGCTCTTTGTTATGTTTATATATCATTGCCCTGTACCAAAGAACTGGCTGGTGTTGTAAGTATACACATCCTGGGATATTGAGACAAATTGTACATCTCATACGAAGTGTGAAGTCTTATTAGCCAAGTTGTCAAGGTCGCTGGTTCAAAGCAATTTTATGCTAAGTACCGTAATGGTGTGGATCTTCGGTACTCTATGTACATTGTAGGCTGTGATATCAGCTCTTTCCAGTTGTAGTAAGCATTACAAAATGTATTTATGAAACAAAATAGTCCTTTGATATCAATCATTTCTAATTGAAGTTTTAAAATTGTAAGGAAAGTAGGAAGTTTAATTGGAAGCTTTAGTCTCTTCCTATTCCTGATATGAGCAGTAGTATTTACCATGTCTAATGTTCTAATATTTGAGGAAAATCATCCATCTCTATTACTTCAGAATGATATTTAAGATAATGCCCACTTACAATCATAACTAGGGTTCTAATGTTATTCCTTATTTATTTTTTACTTATCTCCCACCATCACATTTCCAATCATATCCTTAAAAAAAATACCCTCCTCATCATCATACCCTCAAAATATTGACATTTTGGGGGATGTTGCCTTCTCTCGTCCTGCTCGTGGGCCATTTCACCGTGGGTCACCTTGGCTCATCTTGGGTCAACGTTGGTGCTTGGATCTGACTGACCCCTCCACAGGACATGTTCCTGACAGCTGCACCGGTCAACACGGACATTGGACGGTCACTCATGCATAAGATGGGCTGGAAGCAAGGAGAAGGACTAGGCAAGAACAAAGAGGGAGCCCTCAATCCATTGTTGTTGGAGATCAAGACAGATCGGCAAGGTAAAAAGTTTGAATTTTGTTTACTTTTTTTTTTGGGGGGGGGGGGGTTTGTTTAATATAACAGGAAGACTTAAGTTATGGGAAGGCAAAGAAAAAAAAAAAAAATTCTTCATCTCTGCTATCATGTAAGTTCAGTTTGTATTTTTTTAGATAACCAACAGTCTTTTTCAAGACTACACCAACAGTCCTTTTCAGGACTACACACCCTCAAGAAAGATTACTGAGAGTCCTTTTCAGGACTCCTCAATCCTCCCTCTCTCTCACATGTTGCATCCGCAAGCCTACTGTATAATGGTTAGAAAGTTTTGAAGTTCCAGGAGGCAATATTGTCCTAAGCCCCATTGTATTTTGAGAGTCATTTGCTAGATACAGTAATTTCCTCATGATATCGCATAGCTAATGAGCCCTTTTAATTGGATTCCTATACCGGTACAGGGCCTGACCTTTACTTTTTTTTTAGGGAGCCAGCCGGGCTCCTCAAGCACTTTTTCAGGGAGCCCAAGTTTATCACGTTTTTTTTGTGGTCATAATAATGGTCATTAACTATTAAAAATTAAAACACACCGTCACGATACCTTTTTTTATAATCATCAGCGCCGGGACCAGGGAGGGGTGTATTATTAAGTGTAAATGTGACCATGAGGATTAACTGACTGTACTGAAGAATTAATCTTACAACTATTATGAAGCCCTTTGGCTACAGTAACAGTCTAACATTGGACTTTAGGTTTTATCAGAATGAGATATAGTCACTCTTCCTCGCTCCGTCTGTTTCAATATGTTCAGTGAAAGAAATAATAAATTCATTTATTGATTGCCGTTAAGTTAGTCCAACGACATTCAAGTCAAACTTTTTTATTCCATATTTTATTCTTTTCAGTCCCTTTGACCGTTTATACATGCCGTTTTAACGATTAGCCACGAATCTCCCTAATTCGTACATATGTTCACAAAACAACAATCAACCCCTTTTTACACACGCCTTTGAAGTTTGTAGTTCGTAAAATTATGTTCAAACAATAATCAAGTCCATCCAGGTACGCACGCTGAAGAATAAGCACTCACGATCACAAACGCACATGTATCACAAACACGAGTCAACGTAAACATACACTCAGCTCTGGCAACGCAGCGACCACGTGCGTTTGTCTTAGTGTGTACATTCTCTGAGTGCACCGACATACAATGCAGCATGTATTGCGCACTCGTTACGAGTGCGGAGATATAACGTTATCATGCATGGCATTCCTGCACTGATCTCGATGTGTTTTCTTTTGCAACTCATTATTCGCGCTGGAGTTGAGCCAAGTGTGCCTTGGAATGCCTAGCGCATATTTCATGATTTTGACTGCGGAATTTGGGTTTTTAGATGGATTAAAACATAGATTAAAGTGCTGGTAAGAAACAGCATTTTTCGTGGCTGATACTAGAAAAACTTAGGGAGCCAGCCGGGCTCCTCAAGCACTTTTTCAGGGAGCCCGCAGGGGTTTCAGGGAGCCAATGGCCACCGGGCTCCCGATAAAGTCGAGCCCTGCGGTAGTCATATTTATCCCTTTCACCTATGTCAAGATTTTTCATTTCTGTAATTGAATTCCTCAAGTCATATTTAGCAATTCCACATATAGGTCAGGATTGATTTGTTACTGTAGCTCATTTCTTTTCTTCTACTACTCGCATCACCCTCCAGGTCTGGTAGCTGCAGAGGAGAAGCCTAAGAAGAAAGGGGATGTGTCAAAGGTCATCCGGAAGGACCTGTCCGGCAAGCACCCTGTGATGGCACTGAATGAACTCTGTAATAAGAGAAGATGGGGCAAACCTAACTTTGAGGTTGTGAGAGAGGATGGTCCTCCGCACAAGAAGAACTTTGTTTTCAAGGTACAATTATAGATAATAACCTGAACTTCTACTTCTACTTCTACTTCTAAGGTAATACTCATCAACGCCTGTTCAGCATCTAGATGAGGGTAAAACATAGAGTTGTTATATACAGCTCTATGCGGTACAGTTCCTGAAAAGGGAACTAAATTGTTTCAAGAGCCACCTTGAACTACTCCAAAGAAGGCGGTTCGACGAAAGGCTGAAACGAAAACAATTTCATCAAATTTTTCATTTTTTGAAAATATTTTGTAATGAAAGAATGAAGGAGTAATATTGAAGAGATATAACCTATCACTGTTAGCAATCCACATATTATGTTTTGAGAAATGTATATCTGCCAATTATGAAAGCATTCATGCCTTTCTGTCGGGCACATGATAAAACCATACATCCACGTTTGTATCATTTATATTGTGCAAAGTGATCGGTAAAAAAAGATAAAAAATGCTGAACATTTTCACTCAGGTTACTGTGAAAATTTGATACAGAGCATGGATATCTATTTTATTTTCATGTTACATGTATGTCTTCTTAAACTTCTCAATGTATACTAATGAAAATACTCTTTGAAAGTCATTTAAGTCTGAAGTGTATGGATTTGTTAAGATTGATGGAAATTTAGCAATACTTTTCATAATTGCCCTTTTTTCTTCTTCCTTGTTCTAGGTGTGTATACGTAATGATGAGTACATTCCGACGGTTTGTTCAGGGAACAAGAAAGATGCCAAAGCCATGGCAGCAACGGTTGCCCTACAGAAGATGGGACTTCTACCACATTGATGACTGGAACACAGCTAAGATGCTAAAGCCATGGCAGCAACGGTTGCCCTACAGAAGATGGGACTTTTACCACACTGATGACTGGAACACACGCTATTAAAGATGCCAAAGCCATGGCAGCAACGGTGGCCCTACAGAAGATGGGACTTCTACCACATTGATGACCGGAACACACGCTATAGGGCGATTCTGCCTGTGTCGTACTTAAAAGACATTTCTTGCCTGATACCGGTACACAAGATTGATACAAAACTATTGAGTGATCCTTATGCAATATTATTATGCAGTGATTCATTATGCAGTGATACCAGAGAAAATCATCAGTCCACTGTAATGCCACCGATTATGCACTTGTGGATTATAAGGATAATGTAAAAGATGGATGAATATTTTGTATGGGACACGTCATTGGATCGCTTTGGAGGGAATTGATATTCATAGATTGCCTGTACAGATGGCTGCTCTGCAGAGTATCTGTGTGCTTGCCTTGTTCTCTCTCTGTAGAATTCCTATAGGTGCAGCTCTAGCAGGCATGTACAAATCTAAGCTGTCCTGGTCAAGTCTAAAATGGACTTGAAAGTGGCACAAGAGTGCTCAGCATAGGTTTGGATGAAAGTTTGAATGGGAGCTATTCAGCTTTGACCTTCAGTTTGTAAGCCACACTGTGAACAATGGCATATTCATTTTAAGTGCAAATGATATGATTAGTAAATTCATTCTCATCAATCTACCTCTGGATTTGAAGAAGAAGGAAAATATAGCTACCAGTATACATACGCAAATCATGTACTTAAAACCCCCAAAACGTAATGTTCCATGTTGCCTTCCATTTCTTTCTGTTAATATGTTGATATAAATTCTGATCTGATCATATTCTCCACTCAGTTCTTATTTCTCGTACTGTTTCATACTTACGTTTTTTTTTCTCTTTGGACTTTTGTCAAGGTTATTAAAGGTACATGAATTGCAAGTGTTTTGCCTTGCCTTTTCAAGAAAACATTCTGTAGAAAAAATAATAATATCAATACGTAAGTTTGTTTTAATTAACAGTTTTCAAAAACTTGTGTAGTGTTGACCAGTAGTTCCCTACAGGAGGGGGGGGGGGGGGGGGGGGGGGGGGGGGGGCAAGTGGACCTTCTGTTTCGACATTTTGAGGTGGCTGCAGGAATATTCTTGTTTTTATATTTATTTAAATCAGTTTATACAAGACTGTCAAGAGAAAAGATTCTAAAGGTAAAGGGTATAAGGTATGTGTATCACAAGTGGTCACATTTTATTTCTTCTCCACAATGGCAAGCTGTATGTTGTATCATGTGATAAGAAGTTTAATTAAGGGATCTGATATCTTGTGAGGGTTCAAACAATCGAAACTGAGTTTTAGCTTGCACTGAAAGTCAATATTGACTCATTTTTAGTGTATCACTTTCTAAATATTACTGAAGGAGCTTAAAGATAAAGTTGAGTTCTGTTCATGCGATTGCATTGAGAAAGAAACATTGTGGAATCGATCAGAAAAAGTTGATCATGTAGCATATAAGTATTGGTGTGTACTGCAAGGATCTGGAATCATCAAAATGATAAGAAATTTGGCCCAGTCTTGGTGAAAGTAACAAGCACTGTACACAGTATATATATATATATATATATATATATATATGTATATTTAAGCTGCTACATGTCATATTTAGAATTTGAAGGCATTTAAAGAGCCATGCTTTTCCGGGAACATTTGTTCGATGATGTTCTTCCACACTTGCATAAAACCAATGAAAACACTCACAAATTATTTTTCACCATTCGTCAGAACTCGACCTTCTCTTTAAGATAGATTGGTTGTTTAATAGAGAATGTGTAGAAGACTAAAAGGAATTTTTTTCATTTGACTTGTAAATATGTCTTTAAAAAAACCATTATGGACTGCCAAAATGATTGCTTTCTTTTTTGTGTACTGGTAGTTGAACAGATATTAAAATCTGATTATTTGACCTCATTTTGATGACTGTGTTTCATTTCTCAAAGTCACCAAGTGGAACAATATTTTAAGAATAACAACAAGTGATGATATGGCATATGTTTTTTGTTTTTAAAATACTTTTTATACAGAAAGAATGTGACATTTTTTCTAGATAAACTTTATGTACATGGTTATGAACGAGCATGAATTACAACATTTATGCATTAAAAGAAATAAACCATGCCACCAAAAATATGTTGTCATTGTCTTTATTACATATTTGTTATAAATTTGCATTACTTTACTCATACACAAGATGTTATATCATTATTTATATTACATGTCAATAAATACATTTCAGAAAGATGGTTAAGTGGTACACAAAGGGGTATTAACGTGCAACATCGACAGGTTTGAATTGAGAAATTGCAGTTTTGAAATTCAGTTTAAAGATGAAGTTGAGTTCTGGTCATGCGATTGCATTGTGAAAGTGTGGAATCGGCCAGAAAAGGTTGATCATCTAGCATATAAGAATTTTTGTGTATTGCAAGGTTCTTGAATCATCAAAATGATAAGAAATTTGGCCAAGTCTTGGAAAAGTTACAAACACTGTACACAGAAAGATGCATATGGGACTACATGAACACGTGGCGTAAAAATCCTACCCCAGATTTTTATATGTTACATGACATATTTAGAATATGAAGGCATTTGAAGAGCCATGCTTTTCAGGGAACATGTGTTATCTGATGTTCTTCCACACTTGCATAATACGAATGATAACGCTCACAAATTATTTTTCACCTCTTCCCCGAACTCAATCCTTCTCTTTAAGTTTCATTCTCAACCTAAACTATTTCTGAAATATTATTCATAAACTTGGTTTGAAAATGCTTCAAAATATGGCTGATTGCACCAGAGAGCCATTAAGAATCGTAGAGCCCTGGCCTCGTTTCTCAAAGCCTTTTTTCAATGACAAATGACAAGATTCAGTGACAAATCTGCTGATAACCAATCAGAAGCAAGGATTTCAGTAGCTTATAACAAAGACTGTCAATTGTCACTGATGACAAGTTTTGTGAAACGGGTCCCTTGGACCATGTCAACAAAACAATGTGGGCTTTGCATACATCGATTCATACTCCTCAGGTTTCAATTTTGTGTGTGGACCCTCCTGGGTGATTCTGACAATTGCATTGACAATGTTTACTCCCTGCTACATACTGTCAAAGACATGGTTGGGGCTTTGATTTCAATCATGTTTATGGTTGGGTTTGTTTGTTGCAGTTTCTGATTTGACTGGTGTTAGAACTTGAATGAGGAGGAAATGTACCTGTAGCATCCGTCGAACGATTGTTCGATCCATAAACCATGCCTGTCATTGCATGTCGTGATGCATGAGCACACAGGTAGGCACTGACAGTCTTGTGTGTTATCAAATATCACATGGGTTTAGAATTGCCCTCTGTGACATACCTTACATTCTAGGCCGTATTCTGTAAAAACTGATTCCTTGGCGCATTTTCAAGATGTTACACAAGCTGTGTGATGTGCGAAGAATCTTCTCATTAGAGAAATGTGTAGAAAAGCAAGAATATTTCTAGTTTTAATACATGTGCACAGCCCTGACTACAAAATAAACATTGGATCTCATACATTAAGAGCTCAAAGGTGCCTTTTAACATGAAACATGACATGACAAAACTGGTTTCACAACACACAAACCGACAACCATTATATAGTCACAATCAGATACCGGTAGTTTCAAACTACAAAAGTTCCTCTCATTTCAAAAATTAATTTATCTACAGTATTACACTTTGAAAATATACTCAGTATTCCTCTATTGTTTATTCCCAAGGATATAATTATACATGTAACTACAGAAACAATCTATCTGTGCATGTCACTTCCTTGGTGGGTAAATTAACAGTACACTTGCTCGCCAAATATTCCACCTGTCTCTTTGCAAGTCCACAATTCGTTCTCATCGCTTTCAATCTCTCCTCGTCCCCTGCGTCCCTCACTCCTGACTTCTCATTGGTGGAGCAGGTACAGCTGGTGAACGGAGCAGTTGCTTCGTGATTGCTGAGGGCCATGTGGAAAGCGCCCTCTTGTGTTCTGCGGAGAAGGGAGCAGAGGCTGTGGACGTTGTGGGGCATGATGGGACCTGTGACCTCTAAGCTGCTGACCTCTACCAGCGAGGACTTGCTGGATTGTTGCTTCAGAGTGCCTGATTTCAGCTGGGAAAAGCAATGTGGAAAAGCTCCATTTTAGTTCAAGCACTTGAGAGAAGCATTCTGAAAACTTTACATTTCGCCAAAATGCCCTGCTAAAATTTAAAGCAGCACAGCATAAATTCAGAATGAAGTTATGAAGGGGGTTAAAAAAAAAGCACAAACACTAATAATAATAATAATCTGTTTTTTTATATAGCGCTCAATACACCGATCCAACGATGTGCCTAAGCGCTTTACCCCGGTCATCGGATTCAGGCTTACCCGCACACAATGTGTGCACATTTTCCACTCCCTGGAATAGAATATTGAAGTGAAATGGAATCTCTGGCTTTCTTTTTTGCCTTGGAATAATATTCGGTGGAACCTTAAAGTGAACTCCTTGGGACCAAGGAAATTAATTTGTAATAAGGAAATCTTGTTATCAGTATTATTACAAGAAGTAGGCCCAGCAAAAAATTACCTTGTTGTAACAAGAGTTCTACAAAATAAAGTTCAAATACACCTGCTTTACACACAAGATGCCAACCTGTGAAGTGGCTCATCATTTTGAACAATGGTCTCGAACCCAAGAAAGAGTGGAAATCTGAGTTCCTCAGATAGACCTCCAGGAAAAGGTCCCCTGGCTGCTACCATACAAGATAAACTAAAAATCAATGAACATTACCTTGCAGCTGTTCAGAGTAGCACCCTTGAATGCTATAGGAGAGAGGATGGTGGGTGGTATGTCTGCTAATGGTCCTACACTGGTCAGCACCGTCCGACTGTTCAGTAGGAAGTTATACAAGGCCGCGGTGTCCAGACCTTCTACTAGCACCAGGGATTGAGGCCGATTGTCCAGTTTGAGTAGTTGGTCAGTTTGGCTGGGGATAACTTGGTCAAGGAAAAAATTCTACAATTCTTGTTATACCTTGTTTTTTTTTAATGTATTCACTGCAGCCTGACTACCCAAGGGAAGCATAAAATGTGACAACTGTAGAAAGATACCAAGGTCTCCCTTTCTTTATAAAAAGAAGATATTTTATTGGACCACTTTATACAACTAAGGCGTTTTTTACTGCCATACAATTCTCCAGTCTAGGAGCTACACATTTCTCAATTCTGTCATGAATCGCATGTGCCTCGACTAACAAAAGCATGTCAAAATCATGATGATAAATAGCATTTACCACCGCTGTGTTATGCTGGAAAATATGCATGATTACAACTTGCATTACTGTTTAACCCAACACTTTTGCAACATTATACTTTGGCAAACTGCTAAAAACAGCCATCTTCATGGCAAAGAACTTACAAATTGCTGTGATTGTATTATTAGAAGCATGATATTTCTGTGGAACTGAAACGCTAAAGAAATAGGCTTTTGTTGAAAGTGTCAGGTTTTATAATATGCACTTAAATGAAAATAAAGTTGATTTTGCCTGATAGCATGCACGACATAAGCCCATGTTCAAGTATTGAAATTAAATTACCAGTATCTCTTTATTCAAGATTAATGCATGTAACACGATGGGTCTAGGGTCCCAAAAGACAGAAAGAAAAGGATACAATTTGACTCTGGTCGGCTCTAAGGATGGAAAGTTGGTTTTATCAAGACCCATGCTCTGTAACCATGACGATGCCTTGGTGGGGCTCCGAAGGATGTCTTCCACTTCCTCCTCTTCCTCTGCGATCTCTTTCTTTATCTGATCATCTTCTTGGTTTACTTCAGACTGCTCTTCTATCTCTCCTTCAGGACAGCTAGATGGAACATGAGGTCAAGGGTTCAGTCACACAAAGACGTACTTCCATATTTTGCCAAAATGAGTATTTGATATTAAAATGTTCAGAAAAATGTGGGCTTTCTAGGAAACACAAAGACTTAACTCTACCCAACACCCCATTAAAGTCAATGACTAGTGAAACATAGACTTAACTCCTTAAGGCCCAAGTGCTCAGTGACACATCAACCACTTTTTCTCAAAATGGCCAAAATGGAGTTACGTCTTTGTGTCACTGACCGAGGTGATATAATTGGTTTACACAACGGCAGACTCTGTGCATACTCCTTTAAACTATGGGGGATGGAGAAAAACATTGTAGGGGAGACACTAAGAAATAAAGAGGGCAAATGCTACCAAAAAAAAAAGGGGGGGGGGGGGTAATTACTCCCACACAAACACTCCCCTTTATAGTTGATGGCTTGGTTCTCTTGTATTACATCAAACTGGTCATATTGGTGTTCTCATCCCCCACAATTGACAACAGTAGAACCTCAGTACCAGTAGCTGGACCCACGCCCTGCAACATGCTATTTGGCATATATATATATATATATATATATATATATATACCCAAATAAAATGTTGGTGATATGTATGTACCAGAAGAATGTACATGTATACCATACACAGGTTTTCACTTGATATCCTAAAATATTCAACTTTATCTTTTATAGATAAAATATACCAATAAAATTCTACAGATTCCAAAGCCTTTGAAAAATGTTAAAATCCTGTTGCATCTGAATCGATGGTTGCCTTACCTTTCTTCAGAAGCTTTCTCTTGTTGACCTGCAGTTGTGGTAGTTGTCTCTGCTTCTACTGGAGATGGGGCTTCTTGATGTAAAGGCATGGTGTAACTAATGCCTGAATTTTGAATAATTAAACAAATGAATTGGTTAATACAGGTCATATTGTATACCAATATCATCATAACTATTAATGATTATTGTTGAAACATTGATTAGAAAAACACCTCATTTCTCAGTTAATGATGTTGTGACCCTTCATTAAATCAATCACTTAGCAGGTCAAAACCATAGAGATATACACTTAATAACACTAGAGGGCGTACTCGCTCAAATTGCTGTGTGGACCTGGAGCTGTGGCCGCCATTACTCAGGAGGGCAGAAAAACGAACGACCCAACAAGATACTGTGCACAACATACGTGGAAAAAATTGGAGAAGCCAAGTTCGTGCGTTGCATTTGGATGTTCGAACCGAAGAAAGAAAGGGAACTGCATAATATTTCACAAGTAAGTTCTTCTTAATGTTATGTTGATTAATAAGGAGATTTTAGAGCTAAAAATGCAGTTTATGCAGTGACTGTAGTCTGTACCCGGGTTGTCTCATGACAAGCCACCGCAGCTCCTGCAGCAGCGGAGCGCGCCAGTCCACGCCCGCTGGGCTGGGGCAGGCATGGGTTAAGGTTCTGGGGATGGTGATGGGGAAAATTCTGCTGCGCTGGAGTCGCTCGCAACTCCAAGGGCCAGAGAGTCCAACTTGGAAATATAACTCCATGAGCTTGATTCTATTAAAGAAAAGTCTAGAATAAAACGATACAATTAATTTTATCTTATCTAATTTCAAGATAAAAATCAAATGTCAACTTCTTTAGATCTATATTTTAACTATAGACTAGACTCTAGATCTAGATCTAGACTCTAGATCTAAACTCTACTCGAAAGCCCGAAAGGCAAAGCCAGGTTAGACAGAAATAACCGTCTGATATGGGTCATTTCTTTAATAAAACTGACATTTGTTGACATTCCCCATAATATAATCAGAGGTCTAGTGGAGCCAGACGCAGTCTCAGTAGAACAACCGACGATATAGAGAGACTGAAGATTTTGGTCTAAGCCAGGCTAGCCTGCCAAATTTCACATCACAGGAGTTATCCAACTAGGCTAGGCTAGCCTAAAAATCCCACCGCACACTACACTATTTCTATCAAATTTGCTTATGACTTGCTGACATCATTATTATTTTATTTATTTGGCTGGAAGCTGCTTTCAGTTTCAGTCTTAAAAATCACATGAAATAGCATGAATAGTAGAACAATTGTCATGTTATGAGAAAAAACTCATTATTGTTTCCATTTGCTTTCATTGTAATGCAGGAATACACCCAAGAGAGGAAAAGGATGTTACACACCACATCTCATTCTTAGAGCTGTGCCTACTGTCTTTCCTGGACATCCTCCCTATAAACAGACCCATGGCTCAAGACTCCCAGCAAAACCATGTACAACATCCGAAAGTGTTCCCGTGCCTCCAAAGAAACCCTATGACATTACAAAAGAACATGACTATTCTTTTTCTGTCTGAGTTGATTAGAAACTGAATATAACCAGACAGCAAGTGCAGGATGCCAAGAAACAGCTTAAAGTGGTGAAACAAGGTAAACAGGAGAGATGGAAAAACCAGGACTCTCTTGCAGGAAGTCCACGAAAGCAAGCTCATTAGCCAGGATCAGCTTGACCTACTTCAACACAACTTTGGAGAGAACGCATTTTCAGGAAAAACAAAACAAAACATAGAACTTCATTCGTACAAACTACAAAGACAGATCGGTCTTTTATATTTTGCCTCTTGTCTGCATAGCTTATCCACTGGATGATTGACTGTGAAGCCGTTTAAAACTGGAGAGAGCTTTCAATAATCTTTTAAAAAAACAGAACAATCTGAGACTTTTGTTCTGTGTAATGAAATAAAATTTTGGGGACACATTGTGACAGTTGCACAACCTAACCATAATTTTCTGTTTGTTAACTTTACACGAAGGCAAACTAAAGTGGAACTTAGAAGAATTGATTACATTAGGGGTTAAACAAAATGTACTTGAATTTTGAGTTGTTGTGAGGTACACTGTATTTGAATATTTACTCTATAAGCTTCATGATTGTACCTGCTGTATCTGATTCAGTTGCTATAATTCGTCCCTATTTTCAGGAAGTGACGGTAGTGAGGAAAATCGTAACGCAAAGTGAATGCATTTTTTTTTCACTACCGTCACTTCGTGAAAACAGCGACGAATTTTTGCAAATTATTTGCACTCTACATGTGCTTTGATTCTGCAGGTACAGTATGGATAACCTGAGATAAATATGTAGACCTTTTTTATAACATTGTCTGGATTGCTCTCAACCAAGTGATTTACATCATTAAAGATGAAAAGCAAGAAATTCACATCAAGTGAGCCCATTTTTAATAAACGAGAAGAATTCACAGATGTGTGGCAATTGAAAAGCCTGTGTTATGCACACCATATACACACCCATAGATCGTTTTGTACATAGGTTTGAATTTTGTTCCAAAATGGAAAACTGCTTTTGAAGAGATTTGATAACAGAAAAATTATATGGAATAATGTCACTAGATGTAAACCCATAAGATTGTGCACTCTTTGGCTTGTTGTATCTACTGTGTACATTTGAGGGTAATCAGTTTCAAATTTATTATTACACCTGATGAATAATGATGTCAAAAGACCATGTTACTATGAGGTTTCACTGAATAGTGTAGTGCAGTATCCTGAGATGTAAGTCTCTTCAATTATAGTTCTTCATAGCAATACAGGTGACTTGGAATATATATGCTCAATTACTATTTCTGGTTTGCATTTATTACTCGATGTATTATTTGTAAATGTGACGCGCCGGCGTGCGCTTGGAGCCAAGACTAGTTAATAAAGTGTTTGTTATCGCTGACATCTTGAAACATAGACATTGGCCTCCTGACATTTATGTTTTGGGAGTTATTGTGGCGGTTTTGGGATGTGTAATGCTTGTCTTTGGTGGCGAATCAATTTGTTGTGGTTGTGTTGCCTATGATCCGTGACAGTAAATTTGGGGCTAAAATCTGAGGTGTTGTTTTTGCAATGTCTGTCTTTTCAATTGTGATGTACTATTGCAGTATATATGTCCGATAAAATGTCAAAACTTAAATGCCTATGCTGTAGAATATCAACACACGTGTGCCGTGTGGTAATAAAAGGTTCATTTATTCATTTTTTTCTTCAAATTTAATTATAAGTTTATTCTCTAAAACTGGTTGATGAAGAAAATAAGAAATACACTGTATCAAGGAGAATATTATTTATGGAGAAAAAAAGTGGTGTGAATAAATAATTATTACATCAATGATCAGCTGTTTTTAAAGAATATTCATATATATTTATAGTGAATTGTAAAAAATTGAATTACTCTTTCAGACAAAAATAGAGATTTTATAGAGAATGGGTGAAAGACATAAGGTGTGAATTTGATATAAAATGAGTGAGAGAAGAAGAAAAAGAATGTTTGGATGGATGGATGAATGATTGGATGAGTAAATAACATAATTTTTTAAAATAAATGTGTAGGCCTTTAATTCTTTCCTTCTCCCTCTTCCTATCTTCAGTATTGTCCTTTATCTGCATTTCCATTATCTACCTATCCTTCTATATTATATCTATCTATCCATCTATTTATGTGTCTAGCTATCTACATACCCATCTCTATCCCAAATCTATAAGTATCAATCTGTTTATAATAGTCATAAACATAAAATGAATATATTACCTTTAAAGCGTTATAAATCAATAAACCCTGGCTCTCATAATAACTGAATTAGAAAGACATTGGCCCCCGGCATTGGCCCTGTAGCATAAAACTTTGTTTAATATCATGACATAAATATCAAATACAAGTCCCAAATGCTTGATTCTGATTGGTTGAAAGCCAAGTAATATTTAATGTCATAATATCGCAGTTTTATGTTGACAAAGAGGAAGAAAAATTGAAGATATACTGAAATATAAATAGCTTTTTGTGTCCCTTTTACCTCACCATAACATCCGTAATTAATCTTGACCTACACCAGATACCATGACTGAGGCATGAGTAGGGTTCATGCATTATGCAAAATACCACAATTATAACGTTTCATACTCGAAAACCGATAAATCAACCCGAAAAATGAAGCTTCACATTGCATATCAGTAGCACAGTTTCGAAGGGAACATCCGGGTATTTCTCGAAGTTGTGCCCTCCTTAGTAATGGCGGACCGCGCTCCATGCGCGCACAGAGCTTTGAACGGGCGCGTATGACGAGTCCGCACTCTAGCCTTATTAAGTATATATCTCTATGGTCAAAACAAAGCAGAAATTGCACAGGAAATTCATCCTTGCTAAAAATTAATTCTTTGTAATTCATTACTCTTCATGTGACCTCTAAACATACAAGTACTCACTTCGTTTTCATAGGTTTCTCAATAATCTTAATTGACTTCACTCTTTCATGTGCCTGATATAAATATATTTATTTTAAATATTATCAATGAAGATATTCTTAAATTACAAAGCAAATGGTACTACATGGACAAAAGAACATTCATGTTTTGCGGACTGAAATAATTTGCATACAATGTAACTCACTATAGCTAGAGTATATGTTCTTAAAGGTGATGATTACCTTCTGTTTTCAGTGCCTCTCTGAGCCCTCTGGTGGTAGGGGTCATGAGGGCATGCATAGTGGGCGTGGCAGCGATACCAGCGGCTCTGAACAGAACGGTGAAGTGATGGGTGCAGAGGTAGAAATAAGGGCAGTGACCCGACCGCAGCAGGTGGAAGACAGATCGGAAACTCTCAGACCTGGGTCAAGAAGATAATTAGCAAAATAAGCTGAAGTTGCGGCAATAATGCATCTATTCCTCTTTTTATATATACTACACATGCATGTATCCTATTATGATAATGAACCAGCGTGTTTTTTAATCTAAGGACTTAGGTACAGCTTTTACAAATACATAAAGATTGTTATCAGGGCACATTGCCTTACAAGGAATTAGTGCAACTTGATACCAGTCTCTTTTGAGATAATCGACAGAGAGAGAGAGAGAGGGAGGGAGCAGGGGGGGGGGGGGGAAGAGGGGGAGAGAAAAAGCAAAGAAGGGAGAGAAAGAGATACATAGTGTGTGTATTTGAGAGAGAGAGAGAGAGAGAAAGAGAGAGAGAAAGAAAGAGAGAGGCTAGTGAATACCAGTAGACATAAATGGAGGATGAAGCTAAATATATAATGGTACCCTTCCACTTTTCCCACCAAACAGGTTTTTTACAAATTTACATAACAAATTCTGAACAACTTCCAATCAACTGTGTTGAATAATGCACATATACATGTAAATAAGTACAGTATGAAAATATGAATATGCCTGATATACAGTATACCTGCTTCTACAGAGACACTGTAATGTACTTACCAGTTTGTCATCAAGGCACTAGCTATTGTTGTATCCTTGGTAGCAATGGATTGTCTATAGATACAAGAGATGAAGAGAATTGGAGACACTTAAAAATAAAGGTGATAAGTCCAAACATTACATTGAAATCCTTATTTCCTCATGACAGTGTAGTGTACATTTGTTCGCTGTTCACAATTACATGTATTCATTTTTATTCTTTATTTTCCATCTACTGGTTTTTGTCAATGTTTTCTTACCATCTGGACACAGGGAAAAGGTTTGTGCTTTAAATGAGTTCCACTGGTAAAGGAAAGTGAAAGGACATGTTCTCTTTGATAGGTATAAGTTACACTGATATTGGATTTTAAAAAAAATTACTGGTTAACAAAATAACAAATAAAATATATGTGCTTTTTAGGGGTTCCAGTGGTGAAGGAAAATGAAAGAATAAGTTATTTTCATTATAATTAATAAAATATTTGATTTGACCTTCCTACTGAAAGGACAACAAAATAGTGATTCTAGAAGAGTTCCTTTGCTGAAACAAAGAATCACTATAATAATCTATTAAAAAAAAACAACTTGAAATCCTCTTCTCCAAATCTAGACAGGAAGGGGGGGGGGGGGGCAAGAGTCATTTAGTCGATGTTAAAATGACTGAAAAAAAAAGTGAAATTAACAGATCGCATACCACTCCAAAACATACTTGAACTTTTCTGGTTCTGGTACAATCCTGGGAAAGAGGTTACCGATAAGCAGGGCTCAAATTATTTTTTTGTCCATGGGGGCTCTTCCCCCCAAAAAGAGCCCCTGTGAGAAGGCTCACGGGGGCTCTTATAGTACTGACGGGGGCTCTTTTTTTAATACAAATTTCCATTGAATTGGTACTCATGATACTCCTAAATTCTCCTCCCTCTGTACGAAATTTCTGGTCCAAGCCCATTTACATTCGCCTCCTTGCCAACAAGTTTCCTTTTACTAATTTTAGCTTTCGGTTGATTCACTAGTTAAGGTTCATTATTTGCTGGTCTTTTGGAATCACCAGATTTCAGAGGATTCACGATTTTCACAACGAAAAACTTCTCCACGTTTCGGTCTTTGCATGCTATTAAAATATAACTTCCATTCATTGGTTTAAGGTATGAAAGTTGAAACTCAATATTGTGTGAAAGCTAGTTCTAACAGAAAAAAATCATCTTTATTTTATAATCCCATGGGGGCGATTTTTAATTTTGCAGTAGCCCCCGTTAGCACTCTAACGGAGGCGATTGTGCAGCTCATGGGGGCAAATCGCCTTGTCCGGCTGTAATAGGCGACTTGCTGCACAACTTACTTGAACTTTTTTGGTTCTGGTACCACCCTGGGGAAGAGGTTAAGCCACGGTATATCAGGATGCATCCAGCACATTGTAGCCTGCTGAAGGTCACTCCTCCAGCTAGTCTCCTCAACAGTCTCTTGCTCCTGAATCATATCAATTGTGTACAAGATATTATAGTGAGGAGCATGCTGGCAGAGACCATTATACCATGAGCAGTCTTAAAGCCTGTCTGCACTAGTTGGCCATGAGGGATTAGACCTCCCTGCAAGGTCACTGACAGGTGGTTAACTCATCAAATCAGCTGTCAATTAACATGAGAAAAAGGGGATCATGGGGAACCAATAGGCACCGCTTAGGCTTTGTTTGATATACAGTATATAGAGGCCCAAGTAGCTACAAGTAGTGCAGTCCCGCTTTAATGGAGACCTGTTAAGATTTCTTATATATTCCATATTGTGGATGTGCCATTTAGAATGCACTTTAAGTATTACAGGTATTATGTTTCCATTATGCATGGCTATGTGTACAGAACAACTGAAGTGTTCTATTACAGTAGTCATGGTCTCTTTCCAGAGAACTATGCAACTGGACTGAAAGTTTTTACATACTATGCATAATTCATTCAGAAGCTCCTTGGAGAGAATCCAACAGTGACAGAAAACTATTTCATAGTGGAGGGCCAGCCTATCATTAGGACTTTACGCACTCAAAGCTACAGGATCAATCACACTTTTTAAGTTCATATAAATCAGTGGGGTACAAAAATGGTGTACAGTAAGCTTCATCTTAGCACATCAATGACCTATCCATGATATACTGTTCAATGGGACTGCCCTAGCTTACCTCAGTGTCAGGACCATGCTGACCTTGTACAAACGAGCATAGTCCTTTGGCTTCCTCCTTCATCCGGATCGGCTGGCACCAACTGAATGAGCTGTGTGATGTGAAGCGAAGACGTGTTCTGAGACACCAGTCTGGTGTCAGGTCAGGTTTACCTCTAGCAAGTGGTTTACTTCTGACTTGCTCAGTCTGCTGAAATATGGAGACAATGAGAGTGATGGGTAACATAGTGGACTGAATGAGCTGTGTGATGTAAAGCGAAGACGTGTTCTGAGACACCAGTCTGGTGTCAGGTCAGGTTTACCTCTAGCAAGTGGTTTACTACTGACTTGCTCAGTCTGCTGAAATATGGAGACAATGAGAGTGATGGGTAACATAGTGGACTGAATGAGCTGTGTGATGTAAAGCGAAGATGCGTTCTGAGACACCAGTCAGGTGTCAGGTCAGGTTTACCTCTAGCAAGTGGTTTACTACTGACTTGCTCAATCTGCTGAAATATGGAGACAATGAGAGTGATGAGTAACATAGTGGGAGGAATAAAATTCTTGAACGACGAAAAACACCCTTGGACAGGTTGGTGCATTAATTGGAGACAGTCAGGTTATAAGAAGGCCTTACCAGCAACAAGGCCTTATGCACTATTGTTGTGTTTTTTTCATGGAGCAAGACTGTTTTGATACTATTACCTTAAAGCCTGTCTGTACTAGTTTAGCCAGGAGGGATTAGACCACTCAGCGTGGTCACTGACAGGTGGCTATCTCATCAACTCAGCTCTCAATTAATATAAGAAAAAGAGGATCATCGGGGACCAATGGTCACGGCTTAGGCATTGTTTTCTATATAGAGGGAGCAAGTAGTATAGTGGGGATTTAAGTATTAAATAGCACTACATTTTGTTAATTTCACATCAAATTTAAGAAAATCCACCCCCCCCCCCCCGGCCCCCCCACTCCGGGAACGGACGGACCCCATGCGTGTTGCCAAAATGTCCTTTTCGTAACAAAAGAGAAAGGTCGACCTGTATTGACTTTACACACCGGACTTTTGCTGAAAAAGGGGGGGGGGGGGGGGGGGGGGGGGTCGGTTGGAACACGCATATGCGTACCCTAAATAACACTGAGTGGGAGGAGGGGCCGGGACCCCCCCCCCCTTCACCTTAAATATCCAAGTGTTCCTAGTAATAAAAACATTGCAGTCTTTTACATGTACACTTTCATACACCAAATGTACCACAATATTTACCTTTGGTTTTAAAGGTAATACAAAGTTTTGGTATGGGGTCATGAATTTGGTTCAAATGAACATATTGGAAGCATATGTGATCCTACAATATTCGGTGATCGTTGTCGCGGTTGGATTGGGTCGAAAGTTATGAAATTGTAAATAATGAACTCTTCATGTTGTATAGCTCCCTCTCAAGGTCAAAAGATTGATTAAACCATAAAACAATATTCTGGACTAAAATCGACCGATTGGCTATTCCCGTTTGGCAATTACATATCACAACTACATATTCTGAGATTTTCATGGTCGCACTTACCATTGTATGGCCGTAAGCGCTATTTGAAATTTATCCAAATTTACCGGGAGTACCGGTAAATTTTTATATTCAATTTTTCTCGAAAGCAGAAGTGTTTAAGGGAATAAATTTTCTAGTGCTTATAATACATCCACAGGGTCATCCAAAAATATCAAAATAGTAAAGAATCACTATTGAGCCCATTTAAAAAAATTACCAAAACTTTGTATTACCTTTAAGCAAGGTACACTGTACATTATGCTTTCATTCAAACCAAGGACAATTAAAATTATCCACTAGGTAAAAAGAAAGATAAAACAGCTGCTGATAAAATACCTCTTTTGTAGATGTTGATGCAGTCTTTTCCTCCTCCTCTGCCTCCATAGCTTTCATAGCCTTGGTCAGTCTTTGGCAAGCCTCTACATCAAATACCTAAAGATGTGACAGGAAATGAAGATTAAAGAGTTATACAAAATGAAGGTAAATGAAATAATAATCCTACTTTTAAATCTTTTCTCTTAATTCTGTCAATATAGACATATTGAATATAGCAGCTCTAATAATAAATTCAAGGAAGATTTCAGCATACGTGAGTTCCAATTCACATACAAAGTCCATCAACACATGAAGCACATAGGTTTATATGTACTGTATGTTGACTACAACAACAAGAAAGAGAGAGAAAAAAACCTGAGCTCCAAAATCTAGGTACCTCATCTTGCTGGGAGTCAAGTGCAGTGAATAGCTTTCGATGGTTACTCCCGTTCTCCTTCTTAACATGCTGTCTCTCGCCTCCTACAACTTCACTTTGAATTCTTCTCCTCATCACATTATCCCCACCCCCGCTACCGAATGGATTACGCCTCTTCCCACTCCGGCCATTTCCGGTTGATTGTGACCCAGAGTTGACCTGCGATTGGGTCGATGTGAAGGACTTTGAGGTCAGGTCGCTGGTGCTACGGCGATTTCTTTTCAACCGGACCTTCATGATGTGCGAGGGTTTGGTCCATTGCTTGCTTGGAGAATTTTCCATTGATGACATCTCTCCTGCTTCTCCTATCAATGGATGAAGTGATAATAAAATAGAATTTATGCAAGTTTAGAAATTTAGAAAAGTTTTTCACGATGCATTCATCCCGCGAAACTAGAGGTCACTCATTGAAAATTTTCAAGCAACAATACAGGCTCAATCTCAGAGGGCACTTGTTCAGCCAAAGTGTTATCACCGACTGGAACAATCTTCCTCAGTCTGCGGTCACAGCACAAAGTTTGAATATTTTCAAAATATTACTTGATAATTATTGGTCCAAATTCCAGTATGTTGCGCATGATCCATCTCACTAGTGTGCCTTCAAAGTTATTTTTGTTTATTAATCACAACCATAAAGAAGAAGCGACCGGAAGACCAACAGGACTACCTTTTCTTCCGTATACTGTTGATTTTGATGTTGATGTTAAACACTTGTGGTGTTTTCTTTATAAAATAAGCAGCACTGTGTAAAATAGAGGCACACTGCCAATACGGGAGACTATCTCTAATGTCAGAAACTTTTGTAACAATTTTTGGAAGCCTATTTGGGAGACAGTCTCCTATTTGAGTACTGGTATACCAATTAATTTAATTAAATTTGCTGGAAAGTGAATACCTTGGCTCAAAATAACAATAGAGCTTATAATTTAATAGCAGATTTGTTTTGTGCCATATGTCATGGTTTTTACTCACACACAGTTAATTGTACCTTTTATCAGACATTGTACATACAACTTCACTGCACCTCAACAGTTTGACAATAAACCTGTTCTGCAACTGATGAAGAGACGAAGATTCCACATGATAAATTACTTTTGCTTTCGTAACAGTTTTTGTTATCATCCACACACTAAACCAATGGGCTCCTGACCTTAGACAGGCACAATTTGTCTTGTTGGGGTTGCATCTTATAAGCAAAGTCTTTGATATGGCTTTACAGTTATGGGAGACACTCATGGGGCGTTGCAAGAAAGATGAGTTGCGATCAATTGCAAGACTTACGTTGATGTTGGGGATTTGCAAATGATTGCAACTTTTTTTGCAATGCCCCCATTAGTTTTACTCTTAAAATTAAATGTCATCCTCTATCACGTTATGATACCATACTAAGTGAAATTTTTGCCATCAAATTGTTGGCGAATTCGTGGCTCCCAACTCTTTAGAGGGGCTTAAACTTGGTTAAGGGTCGACAGTTGTTGTGAGTCGAGTCATGCAACAATAACTTGTTACTATTTTGCAATTGCCCTTTGTCAAGAATCAAGGTCACATCATAGTCATGGCGTGCCTTGCAAATTAAACTCCATAACAAAGTCTACAATTTGGGGCGTTGCAATCAATCGCAACTTGCAAAGATTTACCCCCCAAAAATGTGTTTGACTTTGAATTGAAGACCCAAGTTGAAAATATGATGATTAAAAGTATAAAAGAATACTCAATACCGTAGATCTAGATCTAGAAAAAATAATAGAATCTAGGTCTAATTTGGGTTTTCTGAAAACTCTTGTACACAGAAAACCCAAATTTTGTTATTGTGTTCTTTCATCAACCGTGATATTACTCTTTATGAGTGTTAATATAAAGCAGGGCTGTCAACCCGGCGGAACCCGCATTTAGAGGGAGGCTCACGCGCACGCCACCACGCTCATTCTCCCGCCACCCCAAAACTGCTTGTAGTTGTACTAGGTACTGTATGTTACAATGTGTGTGCTTTCGCCATGAAGGTTTCTGCCATAGGGCTGTTATGCACTATTGGAGACCAATTTGGATAGCCTACGTAAATGTAATCTTTTGATGGGCTGATTAGATTTTTGTTTCATGATTTTTATTGGAGGGGAAGAATGACATTGTTATCTTTCATTTCATACTAAACTTTTTATTATTTATGTTCTCGGCAGTTTGTTTTGCTGCACTTTTTCACAAGAGCTGAGTTTAGTGCCATTCTGTACCCTGATCTCACCTACAGGATTTGAAAAAAAGTATCTTGATCCAACTAGATCTAGGATGATTGGTTAACATGTGAATTTGCTTTTGGTGAAATTTCAGCAAAATCTATCGATGAGAAATGTTTTTTTGGATGAGGAATGTGAAAATGTCATGCAAAAATGCCGGCCCGATTAGCGATTTTTGTGTAGTTTACATACATTTTGGGGCGATTTTATCTAGATCTAGAATCTTTCGGTCACATTTGAGATTATAACTTTTGGTTTAAAAACAAAGAAAAACAAAGCAATTAAATACATGATTTCCAGGCGTTTAAAATTGGCATAACTTTCTTATTACTGGGGCTATTACGATGAATGAGGCATCAAATAAATCAGGCTCTGTCTAATGGCATAGAGTCTAGAGTCTAGGTCTAAGTCAAGCAAGAGCTTGAATTAGGAGATTTAATTTTTTTGTAACATCCCTAGATCTAACGTTAGTTGTACTATTGATTGTAGATCTAGCGGGAGATTCCCGCCACCACGCCTTCCTCCTGCTCTCCCGCCAACAATGTAGAATCTTCCGGTTATTCTCCCTCCAAGCAAGCAGTTTCCCAAACGGAAGGGCGCAGGGGCTATGTCAGATCTCTGTAAAACTATGCCGGAAGCGACGGGCAGAGATCCGTTGAGTAGCCGCCACCGCCACAGCACCGAGCTGCGATGCCCGAGGCTGAGGCTGAGCGCATTTAGCTGAACGAGAGAGATTTCTTTACATTTACGAGACACCGTCTTACCAGGGAGGTGAGACTTTAACTCACATGCCCTGGTCTTACTCTCTGAAATTGTCTACAAAAATTTTTAATAACCTCACGAATAATTATTATTATTATAATAGATCTACGTTACTCACAAGCTTAATCTCAGAACTTCACAAAAAAGGGTCCAACTCCGCTGTTGACATCTGCAGTGTTTTGTTTTCCAAAATCCCGCAATTAAACCTGACGACAGATGGCGCTCTTTCATTTACTTTTTAGGGCTGTACTCTCTGGGTGGGGTGGGTGGGTGGGGGGGGGGGGGGGGGGGGGGGGGGGGGGGGGAGGGGGGATGCCCGCACAGGGTAATATATTATAACTCTATAAAAAAAAACCCCTGTAAACCTTACTCAATTTTACAAATATGATATTTATCACTGGGAGAGAGTTGGGGAACTACTTTTACCCTTGAAAGTCATTCTTGTCGAATTTCTCGAAAGTTTTGTTTAAGAAATGCTACTAGGTCTAAGTAATTATTACATTTGTAATACCATTATCATGAGATATGAAGAAAAAACTCGATATTAAGAATATGACTTGTCATGTGTTACTTCATGTGTGTCTTACTGCAATTGTACTGACTCTCACCTATGAGAATAATAAGCTACTAATCAAAATCAGTAACAATATTTCATAAGCCGAGCATCAACTGATACACAAACTCTGTCATTTAAGAACAGAAAACCTTTTAACTGTTATCAATACCCGTCTACTTTTCATTTAAATAGGGCCTTCACAATGTGGGAATGAAAGTACATGTATTGTTATGTTTTTAAAGCAAAAAACAATTCACCCCCCCCCCCCCCCCACTCTGTGAACGGAGGGATGCCACACGTACGTGTTCCCAAACTCTCCGGCTTGTAACAAAATAAAAAATTCTACCCGTATTGACTTAGCAATTGAACTGGTTTAACATTATTTTTCTACCCCCCCCCCCCCGCATACCATACATAAACGCTTGAATTATATACACATTTGATATTCACCTTTTCATTACAAAATAAGTAATTTAGGGCACTGACAAAGTATGCTGGACAGAAAAAAATAATTTAGTATGCGTGTGTTACCTTATGCGGTGGTCACATCCCGCCGTACTTGCAAGTGCGTGCTGTCTACGTGCAAAAACGTGGGCAAAATTTGGGTATCCGTACGTGATGAGTACCGCCTCCGTACGGATTTGGGAGCACGCAGACACACCGTAGCACTTTTAGTGCATGAGGAACTTTCGCTGCGTTCGGGCTGCGTTCGGGCTACCGATTCACCCCAGTGCGTGTGACGTGCGTGCCCGGTACTGCCAACGAGCGCACAACGCACTGACTCCGTGCGTCTTTTAAAGGCGCACGTGATAAGTGCGTGGTCCGTGCTTACTCGCCACTTCCCCAGTTTAGCTATCCAATGAGCACGCAGAACTCACGTGGACCGTACCGAGTAAGCACTTACAACGCACGTTGTTCGCAGTGATTTATGCAGTAGATAGTCTCTTCAGTGGAATGGGCGGCATCTTGAGGCAGCAACAGCTGGGACTTCTGGAGAACATCGGAATGTCGTCCTATATAAACACGAGTTCATCGCACGTGCACGCACTTACAACATGCGAGTGAGTAAGGACACCGTACGTGAGCAGCACTTGTAAGTACGGCCTCCGTACGATAACGTGGCAACCGCACGGAGACCATACGTTGTAAGCACGTTGTAAGCACGTACAACGCACTTACCACCTGCGCAACGTACGATGCACGCAACCGTTCACGGCCAGGCGTGGCGTGCGGGCCACGTACTTACACAGTGCGTGTGACGCGCGTTGCCGGTACCCCCTCCCTGCCTTTGCCACTCCCTCCCTACGTTTTCAGAAAAACGTGGCGGCCGTGGCCTCCCCAAAAACCGTACGGACTAAAAACACGCACGGTGGGATGTGACCAACGCTTTACATAGCATCAATGAATAAGAAAACTTGGCTATACAATTCTGTTATCAATAGCTTAATTACGTAATAATTGCGTAACAAACTACTAAGATTCTTCTGACATAGCATCAATGCATGAATTGAAAAGGAAATGATTGTCCTTTCTTCGGAGAGGCATGCATATCTTCGTCTTTTATTTAAATGCTTGTTCAATACACAAATAGGCCAAGCTGCAAAGTGAATGAGAGAAGAAAATAATTGTAATTAAGCGACAGTTTCAATGCTTTAAAAACAGGACAGTGATGAAAAAGGCCTAATATTATTCTCATTGCAGTTTGAGCGGTTCGGGTCTTAATTTTTCGTAATGAGACGCGAGCTGTTCATCCATATCTCAGTGAGTTTTCCTTTTTTGTTTTTGTTTCTGTTTATTTTTTTGTTTTCGGAGGGGTGGGGGGGGGGGGGGGGGTTGGCAAAATACTTTTCCTGATACATGTTTTCCCCCAGGAATATAAAAACTTGGGAATAAACTGCCCACAAATTTGAGTAAAATTGAAAGTCATTCCAGTTGCGGCTACTTGCTTCCGACTTGGTTGCAAATAACCTGAAAAGAGGGGATGGTCAATCCATGAATAAAAGAAAAAAGGCGGAGGGGGAGCCAATAACAAAAACCAAATAAAAAGCAACGAGCGAACAAACGAACAAATAAATTAACTAATATATAAAGCAGAAAATGAAACGAAATCGGTGAGATGACCACCACTTATCACCTTATTAATCAATCATGATACCCCCTACTTTCTTTCACTCTCTGTCACCGATTTCAATCTTATTCCCTCTTTCTAATTTTCCTCTCCTCCTTCCTTCCTTTTTCAGTTGTCCTTTAAATTGTCCTGTCTTTTGTTGTCTTCTACTATTTCCCCCGTCTCTGTCTCTTTCTCTCTCTCTGGAGCCCTTTTGGACCTCTTATGGGGAGAGAGGGATGTGCTATCTCGGCCTCCTTTATTCCTTTTAAACTTTGTTGTTTAGGTACCTTTTCCATTTTCGGAATTACGAACCCTATTTCATTTTCGGAATTAAAAACGCTTTTTTTTCATTTTCGGAATTATTAATCCTTTTTAATTTTTGGTAAATACGAACCATTGGAATAATGAACCTTCGTATAAATATATATATAAAAAAACCTTCAGAATAACGAAATTTGTAATAATGCCAAAAATGTTCGGAATTATGAACCTTTTTCATTTTCGGAATTATGAACCCTCGAAAAAAACGAACCTTCGGAAAAACGAGTGCCCCCCCCCCAGTTCATTCCCCCTCGCGGCATACCTTTTAAACCATTCCTCCTCCTCCAATCCTTTTCTCTGTTCCTTTTTATCTCACTCTCCATTTTCTCTCCCATTTCAGTCTTTTAAATCAGCATTTCAACTTATTTCCATTTCTCGCTTTTACTCAGGGGAGTCGCTAAAGAAGGGGTGGATGTGGGGTGCGACATCCCGCACCTGTCAGGATATTGTCGATAAAATTGCGCTGCCCTCGGGAAAATGAAAAAAAGGGGGAAGGGAAATTTTGTAATGCCTAAATCACCCTCTTTTCACCGGAGAGGCTCCTGCAGTGACGTCAGTGTGCTATTGCGCGATACAGCTCCGAAACTGGGCTTTTTCCCAAGCGTTCTGAGTCGGTCATTTTTAAAGCTAGATTCCAGAATTATTCATGATTTCTAAGAAAAATCATTATCATGTTCGGAATCTCCGTCATTTCATTTTCATTTTTTGGTTAGAATGGCCCTTTAAGTGATTCGCACGCTAAAGCCCCCCCCCCCCAACAAAACAAAAAAATGATTCTCCTCGATTGCTTTTCTGGAGTAGGGGAAGGCGGGCGGATTTGTTAAAAATTATTTTAATTTTTGTCTAAAATTATTTTCCCCCCATTTTTTGTTAATTATTTTTTTATTTTTTCATTAAATGTAAAGACCAGTTATGGTCATGCTATTGCATTGTGAAAGAAACGTTGTGGAATCGATCAGAAAAGGTTGATCATCTAGCATCTAGCATTTGCAAGGTTCTGGAATCATCAAAATGATAAGAAATTTGGCCCATTTTTCATAAAGTTACAAGCACTATACACAGAAAGATGTATATGGGACTACCCTATATCTCTCACAGACCATGAGAGAAACAAATTTACCAAATATATGAATTAGTAGGCGGTTTCCCGGCAAATTTGTTATCATCATGTATTAGTCAAAACATATTCTCTCACATGATTGGTAATGAGAGCTTCCATTTCATTTTTTGAAATTGCAATACTGGTCTTTACCTTTAAAAAAAATAAAGGAATCATTGAGATGTCGCTTTTTTGCGGGGGTGGGGGCGGAAATTGGACAATTACGTCGTCAGATATTTCGTTCAGTGGCTGGGGGGGGGGGGGGGGGGGGGGGAAGGAGGAACACGTTTTGTGTTTTGCCTCCTTCAGCACATATATATATATTTAAATATTGAAAACAAATTAAGGGGGGGGGGGTATACGTGCCTGGCTAATATGCTGACTAAGTTGACGAAATATATCGTATATGTATATGTCGTCGAGGAAATAGGAAAGTTGGTGCATAGGAAAGATAGTGCATAGGAAAAATTATTTACTGAGCTTTCGGCCCCGGGTTTATAGGGTTAAATTTGAAGACCGTATTTGTCGGTGATTGGTGGTTAGTTTTGTCGGTAATTGGTGGCCTCTACACCCCCCCCCACACACACACACACACTGAAAAAAAGGTCTAGCGACGCCCCTGCTTTCACTCCCATTGTTTTACATCGGAATCGGTATCACCCTCTCTCAGTCTCTCATTCGTTCTCGACATCAGCACGTGAACATCAATATGATAAATAAAGACTCAAGACACGGTTTATTTGTTGTTCAGCTACTGTTTGCTTCTCGTGGGTTTTTCTTTTTTTCGTTACATGAACAACAATAACAAAATAACATATTTACAATAATATAACATAATATAGTACCCATGTGAGCAATTGTTTTGTTAAATACGATGAGATAAAGGATGAGTTTTGTCACATTGTTACCATTCCCATCTCATTGCATGTGTATAGACAAGACATGGTGTGATTGTATCCCCAAACAAAAGATGACGCAGGAACGCCCGATCCGAGTCACAATCAGCCTCTACCATCCGTCGGTTAAAATGCACAAATTCGGCTAGTTGAGGAGAAAGAGGAGTGCGTGTGGGTGTGTGACGGTGTTATGTCAGACATAGCACCACCACACACTCACTCGCACTGCCATCTCTCTCCAACAAACCGAACAAGTGCAAGATAACTGACGAATGAAAGAAGCTGAAAGTTTCCCAAACCGAGCGCCTCCCATGTATCCTACGTCATCGATTGCTAGGAGATAAATCACTCCATGACTGCTCTACACACACGCAATCAGACGGGAGTGGTACCAATGTCACGAAATAATCCTTTACTCATTATAAATAATAATACAAATAACAATAATGAAAATAATAATAATAACGATTATTAAATTAAATTAAGTATGTGGGATAAACTAAATTATACTATCATATAAATTATACTAACATATATATTATACTAACATATAAATTATACTAACATATAAATTAATTAAGAAAGAATAATTATAATACTATAATACTAAGCAATAATAGGTAAATACATATGATTTATTGTGGTAAATAAAATAAAGCTATGAGAGACAATAGACACTATCATGACAAGGGCTTAATACCCTATAGATGTTAGAGTTCTTCTCATCTCAACCCAACAGACCCCTCTTACCAAATAATGGAGTTCGATGTCACTAGCACAGGCATCTTCAGGAAAGAGGAAGTAAACAGCTCTGCGTTTGGTCACAACCAGACGCATCAACAAAGATTTATCTAGTTGTGATCAAACGCAGAGTTTATTCTTCCGCCATTCTGAAGGAGAAGCCTGTCCCAGAGATATCGGAGAACATGATTTGATCTTAAAGCTGTTTGGTTCAAATGAGAATGCAACCCAACATAGTTAATATCAATAATAATATCAACGTTTATGATGATGATGATGATGATGATAATACTACTACTACTAATAATAACTAATATTAATTAACCATTAATCTAACCAATAATAATAATTATTTAAAGGATAATGAAATAATTATATTAAAATATTAATAATAATACTCTTAAAAATAATAATAATTATTTAAAGGATAATGGAATAATTATATTAAAATATTAATTATAATAATCTTAACAATAATAATAATTTAAAGGATAATGGAATAATTATATTAAAATATTAATTATAATAATCTTAACAACAATAATTATATTAAAATATTAATTATTATAATCTTAACAATACTAATAATAAAAGCAACAACAATAATAATGTAAATACTAATGATAACTAATAGTAATTATAATAATCTTAATAAAAATAAAACCATCATCATCATCATCATAAAACACTAATAATGATAAAAGTTTCATCCCACTCAGCTAAAGGTAATGCACAGTGTCAGTATCAGCCAACAATTTGACGGGTAAATAAAATTACACCCATCACTCCCTCTGCTCCTGGCTGGGGCGGAGGAGTAAGCTAAGTGAGGGACTATCATCGAGGCTTGTTGAATACCTCACCACCTATACTAGCTCAATCTTAAAGCTTATCTGCCGTAGTTTACAGGAGGGATTAGACTGCCCTGCAAGGTCACTGGACAGGTGGTTATCTCATCAACTCAGTTCTCAGTTAACATAAGAAAAAGAGGATCATGGGGGACCAATGGTCACCGATTAGGCATCGTTTGTTATATAGAGGGCGCAAGTAGCTACAAGTAGTACAGTGGGCCTTTAAGGGAGATGCGGTGGATCCGCACTCGATCTACATGACATGACCACTTACTATGTCTAGAAATGAAAATGCAGCTTCCCGGCGTTGAGTAGCACAGACCATACTTTCAATGAGACATCAATTAACTATTGAATGAGATGGTCGTATTTGCCTAGCCTTTGATCTCAAGCTGCTCACTTCAGATAAGAGAATACTTGAGAGTTCACTACTTGACCCTAAGTTTGAAACCAATGACACTGTGCATTACCTTGAATCTCTATTAAAGTACGGTCAAACAGAAAATCTCCGGAAGGAGGGTTGCCCCTTGTTTAATCCTGTTGCTGCCAAGAGGAAAACCCAATTAAAAAAAAATACATATTTGAGACTTTGCAAGGATTATTGGGTATCCTCCCCCGATGACTCTCCCTCATCCTGTGTACCTCCAGCCTTCCATTCACACTACCCCAGCCCACAATACATGATCCAACAACGGCCTGATTTTAGAAGAATACGCAAAGGGTCCCGGTGTGCAATATCTAACAATGTCAAATCTTCCTCATCAAGGTTCCAATTGCTCTTGAAAAGTGAAGAACCTTGATGAGGAAGATTAGCATGAACAAGAATTAAGACCAAACCCTTTGCCTTTTCTCCCGAGACCAGGTCGTGGTGAGATCATGTAGTATGCGCTGGGCCTCAACACTCACACATCTGTCAGGTTAACAGTGCGCCACATCTCCCTCTTCTTCTGCTCTGCTCCTCTAGGGTTGCCTCAATACCATTCATGAGCCGATGATGCAGAAGGTAATCTGCATTTGAAGCCACCAACAGCTCTCCTGAATCATGCTTGTCACCTAAAACTGATCAGACTCAAACAAAAGGTTAGGCACTGCATGGATGATGCAGATTTCAAGGAACCAACACAGTAAAAGAGTCATGTAAAAACGCATTTGCCCCCTTTTTGCCCAATATTTGGTTCCCTAAAGTGTGTGGCTCTAAACTAAACTAAACTATATTAAAAAAAAAAACTACACAGTACCCACCCCCACCCATTAATGAAGAGAGGGAAAAAACTCTCATCTTCCTCTCTGTCCCCACCCCGACCCCCTCCCTTTCCTCTTCTCTCCGTCTAAGTCCCTCATCCCCACCCCTCTCCTCTCCATCTCCTTCCCCAATCCCTCGATCCCCTCTCTCCCCTTTCTCTCCGTCTCAGTCGCCCACCCGATCCCCCTCTCCCCTCCCTCTCTGTCCCCCAGATCCCCTCCCTCCTCAATCTACTCTCCCTTTCTTTCACCTTTCCCCTCCCACTTCCCTCTCACCCCCTTTCCTCTCTCTCACCCTCTCCCTCCACCTGAAAATTTCGCGATCTTTTCCACAACCACAAGGCAGAAATAATTTTCCGCGCGTTCTTTGCAGTCTTTTTTAAACAAAGTTAGCGAAAATCGGGCATTATAGTTGTAATGTGACTCATTTGGCCAATCAGATTGGTTTGGGCGACATTGATACGCGACCCAAGAGCTTAGCTTTCTCTATTTACTGTTTCCAACAGTTCTTCAACTTTTTCTATGCGTGTGGCATAAAGGGTGCTGTTATCTGCATATCTCAGGCTGTTCAGACTCCAGCCAGGACTTCTGTTAACAAACCATCAGTTGCTCTTCTCAATTGATGCAGAATAGAGAGAGGTTGAAATGAGATGGAGATGGTATACACCATTGCCTCCCTCGTCATGGTCCTAGGCATTGTCCTAACCAGTAACCGTCTCCTCTTTAATTTAAGTGTGCTTCAATCATAAAGATCTTCATGAGCTGAATCAAATGGCATGGGATTCCCCATCGTCTATGTAGTCATGTCTCATCAAGTCTGCATAGGGATAAGATGAGATGGGGGCAGTGCACAGTATCACTTGAATCACTTCACTCCCAGGTAAAATTAGCCACTGACTCCTCTTCCAATGCAAAGATATGCTTGCTTCCATCAATTATGAGCTCGATAAAAATGACATTGTCTCACTAATCTCATCGTTTAGTGTGCCGGATGCTTGCAAAATCATCACAGGCTCCACAGCCATTCCAAATAAAGCTTATCTTTGTAGGAAGCTCAGGTTCAAGTAAAAAGCCTACCCCCCCCCCCATTGATGATATGTAGCAAATACTTCCTTGTATGGGGAATAAAGACAATAGTCTGGTAGTTCATGCATTCAACCACATTACACAATCTTTCAGTTGGCAGAGTGCTGAAGTTTTCCAATCTCTTCGGCCAGGATGTTGAGTGCTAAAATCATTGTATGTCATACAATGTATATATTATCTGTATTCCGTATCAAGCAGTCTTTCTTGGAACTCATTCCGGTAGGGCATCAGTACCAGGGTCTCCTGCCTGCATGTACTATCAACTTGAGATGTAAACTCTAGGTGCCATCTATCGGGCTTTGGCGATCATACTGTTTCTCATCCCTCAGACTCTAGCATTCTCTGTCGGCAGTACTTCCACGCTTCAAGGCTGTCGTATTTTCAGAGATGTGACTCTACTGAACTTTACAACGGTCCATTTACATTCATTATGAACAATTCAGTGAGGCTGCTTAAAAGAGTGTCAACACATTTCATATGCCAGTTCTGACTGTTTTCCATGAGGATTTGTCCCACCATCGGCTCTTATATATCATCACAAAGAAAAGGTCTAAACTGGTTTGATTGTCTGTCCCTAGTCCCTCACTCAGTCTGCTCTATGTGGCGTGTCATCACAAAGAGAGAGTCTAAACAGGTTTGGTTGTTGGTCCGTATTTCCTCACTCAGTCGGCTCTATGTGGCGTGTCATCAAAAGGAAAAGGTCTAAACGTGTTGGTTGTCCTTTCCTAGTTCTTCACTCGGTCGGCTCTATGTAGGATGTGATCACAAGGAAAGAGTCTAAACTGGTTTGGTTGTCCGTTCCTAGTCCTTCACTCAGTCGGCTCTATGTAGGATGTGATCACAAGGAAAGAGGTCAAATTGGTTTGGTTGTCCTTTCCTAGTTCTTCACTCGATCGGATCTATGTAGGATGTCATCACACGGAAAGAGTTCAAATTGGTTTGGTTGTCTGTCCCTATGGTCCCTCACTCAGTCGGCTCTATGTGGCGTGTCATAACGAGGAAAGAGGCCAAATTGGTTTGGTAAACTTGTCCCTCACTCAGTCGGCTCTATGTAGAATGTCATCACAAGGAAAGAGGTGAAGTTGGTTTGGTTGTCTGTCCCTATAGTCCCTCACTCAGTCGGCTCTTTGTGGCGTGTCATCAAAAGGAAAAGGTCTAAACGGGTTGGTTGTCCTTTCCTAGTTCTTCACTCGGCCGGCTCTATGTAGGATGTCATCACAAGGAAAGAGTCTATAAAACTGGTTTGGTTGTCTGTCCCTAGTCCCTCACTCGGTCGGCTCTATGTGGCGTGTCATCAAAAGGAAAAGGTCTAAACGGGTTTGCTTGTCCGTTCCTAGTTCTTCACTCGGTCGGCTCTATGTAGGATGTCATCACAAGGAAAGAGGTCAAATTGATTTTGGTTGTCTGTCCCTAGTTCTTCACTCGGTCGGCTCTATGTTGGATGTGATCACAAGGAAAAGGTCTAAACGGGTTTGCTTGTCCGTTCCTAGTTCCTCACTCGGTCGGCTCTATGTTGGATGTCATCACAAGGAAAGAGGCCAAATTGATTCGATTGTTGTGGGGATTTCAATCAGGTATCCAATCTAATCCATTCCAAACCAGGTATTCGATAAAGCGCCTTTTTTGCGGTTACACAGTTACCCACATTACTCCACAAAGTTATTTGGGTCACTTAAACAATAGCGTATCGCTTTAAAAAAGACCAGGTGAGTCAACACAATCCATTGTCCTCTAACAATAAATAGGACTTCATACGTTTCTTGAAATAGTCAAAAGATGAAACTGTCTTCACAATAGTAGGTATCTTGTTCCATCAGTGGGTAAGACGTTCTCCCACACTTTTCTTAGAGAGACGATTAGTAGGCATGTAAATGATGGACATGAGGACAACGAACCAGGCAATCATTTACGCACTCTGGAAATTAATAGACTTGTTGACTAGCCGTAGGATTTTGAAAATTATTCTATGTCGCACAGGCAACCAATGCATATTGAGTCCAGGACTTTGTGTGTGAGTCCGAAGTGAAGCGGAAAACACAAGCCTTGCGGCACTGCTAGTCAAAGTCTTCCAGCTCGAAGACATGTCGCTGACACTATTATGATCTTAAGTCATAATTGCCTCAATGACCATTTATAATCAACTCTGATTATTAAGCACGTCGCTGGCTGTACTGTTTACGGTATTGCAGTAGCAATTATGAGACAAGGTGTGCTCAAAATTGGCCAGAGATATACAACAACGAAAAATTAACAGGCGTGGCCCATCAATGCATTTCATCCAGAATACAACAACAACTAAAAGGGGAGAAAACAAATCTAGACCATATCCCCAAAGAAGCCAGCAAACAGAAAGGATATTACATCAATAAGACTCGCGAAGTTAAAGGACACAGCAGGCCCGCCCCCTCTCCTTAAAAAAAAAACAACGGGCATACCCTAAATATATACACACCACAAAAGGAAGGAATCTAGGACATGCTCTCAAAGCATACAAATAGAAATATCTAATCATTAAAACCACTAGGATATTAAAGAGTCAGACCGATCCGTGCCCCCTCCTCCATGAAGAATCTAACTGACATACTGTAAGTAACTTACGCAAACAAGCCATCCCTTTAAAGTATGAATACCTCCCCTCCCACCTTACATCAATCCACAAAGCCCCGAAATCCTAACTAATGTATGTAGAATACCATTTGGGAAATTTGACAATGTACAGCCATGCCGAAAATTGTCATGTTAAACCAATCATGACAGAAAGGATGTATTCTACATATTTTGGACCAACCCTTTAAAATACCTTAAAATTAATGGCAAATGCTTTTAAACGTGACTTTCTTACTGCCTTGATTCCATGAAATCTGCTTCTCATCCATCCAGTGTCGAAACCTGATGTTTGGGTCATCACAGTTCAGCTGACAAGCATGATCCAGGAGAACAGTTGATGGCTCCAAACACAGATTCCCTTCTACACCATCTTCACATGAAATGGCAGGAGACCCCCTGGAGGTTGGGAACAAGAAGAGAAAAATGTTTAGCCTGCTAACCTATGGATGTATGAGAGTGATATGCAGTGCGAATAAGGGGATGACCAGAGGTCAACATCCAAGAGGGTTGAGCCGGGGGAGAAAGAACCAGCGAAGCTCCGATTAAGAAAGTGAGGGGGAGGGGTAGAGAAATCTCATGTTAAAATATCGTCATCGTGTTGCCTACTTCAGTCACTGGTGCACAATAATATTGCATCCCAAAGAAAGCCTAAATCACAGGAATAGATTAATCGAGAAGCCATGTACGTGATATATCCCATCTCAAAACACAAGACTAGTGCTATTTTAGCCATGGCATTTCTCGTCACATAAGGTGTGTTGTGCAAACTTGAAAATTAATGGCTAAAGTGGCCAGCCCAAAAAACCTACTATATTTAAGGCATAATCAAAGATGTATAAATAAATTCTGTTACTTGAGCCAGGAACTCTTTTTAGTGCAAAAATACACTTTTATCAAAGGTTGCAGAAAAAAAAAGTATTTAGAATAAATATATGTGTATTGCTCATTTTTTACCATTACGAGTACATCCACTTGTATCATTCCAATGATAATGTATAATATGAAAAAGTTTCTATCGTTTGGATGTCCTTTTTTTTTTGGGGGGGGGGGGTGGCAGTTTAACATTTACAAATGGGAAACTGAAAATTAGATATATGACCAAAGACATATAATAACATTTTGGCTAGAAAGCTAACTTCCTGAAAGGAATTTTTGCCTTAATTGCAACAAGCACGTATCACCATTTGTATTTGAAGTAAGCAACCATATGACTTGATATGAAACAAACATGAAAGATAAAATGCCTTTCAGAAAGACCTGCAAAAAAACAAGCCTCCATTATCATTACGTTTTCCAGTGCAAAGTCCCAAATGTATCGTATATCTGACTAAGCAACCATGTACAGAGATGTTTGACCTTTAAAGATAAACTTGAGTTCTGGTTAAAAAAGAAAATGAATTCTCACAGAATCTTACGAAACTTACACTGAATGTTCAAGATTACAAATAAATGTCATGTGCCTAACAATTTAGGAAGAAAATGTATACTAGCTGAGTAATGAGCATAGAAAGATAAGGAAATCAGGGTAGTACTAGCCCCGACACCATGTGTGTTGTCCCATATAAATCTTTCTGTGTAGGTGATTGTTACTTTACCAAGACTCTGCCAAATTTATGATGAGTTTGATGACTCCAGAACCTTGCATTACACACCATTACTTACATGCTATATGATCAACTTTTCTGATCCATTCCACACCTTTTCTTTCACAATGCAATCGCACTACCAGAACTCAAGTTTATCTTTAATCTTTAGTAGAGATTTGAGGAGGAGGGGTAACTACTGGATACCAAAGTGTGAAAACCAGACAATATGTGTCATTTCATTCCCAGGCCTGTAAACTGCCCCTAGATTGGGAATCAGGAGTTTCAGGAGTATTCTATCAAGGACTCTTCCCGCTCTCTCTAGCCAGAAGAAGCAAAATTAACACCATGCACTAAAAGCCTCGTTCAGATACCCGCGGCGGTTCGTTTATGACGCCGTAAAGCGCAATACGCTTCACAGTTCTGTATCTTATTAGACAGAGCTAAGTGAATTCGTGAATCTGCGGAAATTTTGATATTGCGTCCATTATTAATCGATGAAGAATTCTAGCATCTTGTATAAAAAATCAAAGGTTTTATAAGAGATACAAAATGTTCAAAAAATAATTCTTGGTCCTATCAATGTACTTTTTTGTTTTTGAAAACAAATAAAAGTGTAAAAAGGGGGTATGTAACGCACGTAAAGCGTATAAGTCAAAATGATTTAGTTTTTCTTGTCTATAACGGAATATTGATAATTTATCAAAGATTCTTTTTTTTATGATTCTGAAATGAATTTATATACATTTTGACTTGTTCAACATAATATATATAAATAATGAAAGTGGATACCTTATAAAATGACTGATTGGAAACAAATAGTCTATAATTATATTCTCATTTTCACAAAATTAAAAAAAAAAAAAAAATCGAAATCTACTGAAATTAATTCCCAGGTTGAATCTTTGTCTGAATGCTAAATGAAATGCCACAGCCTGCCCCAACGTGTGAAGGTTTTATTCAGATGTAGGGGGGGGGGGGTATCCATTTTTTCTCAATTAAACCAAAAACCCTAATCATTCCCCTATGATCGGACCAGGATATTAGATCTAAGACCATCAAAGTGACTACATTGACTACGACTGAAACAAGGACCTGTGAAGCTATGCCTGTCGAATATAAGCACTGTAAGCAGTGCACATACTAAGCAAGCACTTGCCTCACAAATCTTTATTTCAATAGATCATACGCTCACAAACATGACCATCAGCAGCGGGATTTGACATCGTTCTCTGCTTGTTCTCCGGCTCTAGGGTTGTCTCTGCCATTCCATGATCCAGTGGTAGAGAGGGAAACCTGCTTTTGAAGTCACCAGCGGCACTCCAGAATCATGCTTGTCACCATAACTGATCAGACTCAAACAAAAGGTTAGGCACGGAATGGATGGTGCAAATTTCAATGAACCACCGAGATAAGAAAGTCATGTGTAAAAACATTTGCAACCCTTTCCCGTTTTAGTCCCGAATTTACTGCTGTAAAAATTATACCCTATAACCTAAAAATAAAACGGGCTCTCCTGTCTGATCCGTACAATAGCCCCCCCCCCCTGGAAATACCCCCGTCACTCTCTCTCCCTTCCTTCCCCTTCCCCTATTCCCATCTCTCGCCCCTTCCCCTCTCCCCTGCCCCTCACCGCCACTCTACCGCCCCTCCCTCCGCCACCACTCTCTCGCCTCCCTCTTCCCGCCCCCAATAGAAAGAATTACATTACTTCAAAACGTTTGGAAACCTACAGTACCAAGCCATCGTAAGGTATGGAACTTGAGTAATACTGAAGGGGACAAAGACAGGCATTGTGAAATGCATGCCTCTACAAACAGAATGGAAGGGGCCAGTAATATCTGAGGTGTATACGCAATCCATGGAGCACTATGACTATTTCCAGTGATAAAGTGAATCATTCAAAAGGCTTACATCCCAAAATATAAATGATAATAGGTAAACTATGTTCACACAAAAAAATAAAAACGTGAAGACAGCAGTGTCATTGAATGTACGGAAAACTATGCAAAGGTCTACAGAAAGAAAACAAAAATAAAAACAAAAAAACAAACCAGTGTATATAATTGAGCGTGCTGTTTTTTCACCTATAGTTTAAGGGGAGAGCCGTGTATGCTAGCCATTCACAGCTCACCATCGCTCAGCCAGGAACTACATATATCTACACTAACGAACCTCCTGACCGATTGCAGAGAATAAAATTCGGAAATCATGCAAAATACGAACATGGCATACAATATGGATACTCATTGAATATATGCACTATCAAACAATACAGACATTGTATTTCTGGTGTCTGTTTGTAGGAAAACCTGTGTTTGGGACTTGGTCCCCCTTAATTTGATGGGGCCAAATTCAAATCCCCCTCCCCCCTCTACAGACTAAAAACTAACAAACTAAATTCCGGTGAGCCTTTCGATTATTTTGTGAACAATCAGTACCTTACAAAACTAACCTCTTCCCCCAAATAGCAAGTGACTGGGTGCACTGTTCACCTAGAGTTTAAGGGGCGGGGCCAGGTAGGCTCATTCTTCACAGGACACCGGCTCTCATCAAATGATAAACTACCCTATATTCTAGTTAGCCTTACAGCAATACAAACTTAATTAAGTTCCTGACAGAACGAAACTCTACATAAATAAAATTAAAAAAGCAACTATACAGTTTAAGGGGCGGGGCCCGGTAGGCTCATTGTTCACAGGTCACCGTCTCCCAACTAAAAGTTAACTACTCTAAAATTTAATTAGCCCTACAGAAAAAGAAAACAAAATAAGTTTCTTACAGAACAAGGCTCTGCATACATGAGAGAGGGAAATAAATAAAGCTACTGCCTGGGCGTGCTATTCACCTACAGTTTAAGGGGCGGGGACCGGTAGGCTCATTACTCACAGGTCACCGTCTCTCAGCCAGTAATTAACTACCCTATATCCTAGTTAGCCTTAAAACATAACTAAAGTAAGCCTAGTTAGCCTTAAAACATAACTAAAGTAAATTCAAAAAATTAAAAAAAGCAACTACAGTTTAAGTGGCGGGACCCGGTAGGCTCATCGTTCACAGGTCACCGTCTCCCAACTAAGAGTTAACCACTCTAACATTAAATTAACCCTACAAAAAAAGAAGACAAATTAAGTTTCTTATTACAGAACAAGGCTCTGCATACATGAGAGAGGAAATAAAATGAAGCTACTGCCTGGACGTGCTATTCACCTACAGTTTAAGGGGCGGGGCCCGGTAGGCTCATCGTTCACAGGTCACCGTATCCCAACTAAGAGTTAACCACTCTAACATTAAATTAACCCTACAAAAAAAGAAGACAAATTAAGTTTCTTATTACAGAACAAGGCTCTGCATACATGAGAGAGGAAATAAAATGAAGCTACTGCCTGGACGTGCTATTCACCTACAGTTTAAGGGGCGGGGCCCGGTAGGCTCATCGTTCACAGGTCACCGTATCCCAACTAAGAGTTAACTACTCTAACATTTAATTAGCCCTACAGAAAAAGAAGACAAATTAAGTTTCTTACAGAACAAGGCTCTGCATACATGAGGGAAATAAATAAAGCTACTGCCTGGACGTGCTATTCACCTACAGTTTAAGGGGCGGGGCCCGTTAGGATCATTACTCACAGGTCACCGTCTCTCAGCCAGTAATTAACTACCCTATATTCTAGTAAGCCTTACAAGAACAAAAAAAAATTAAGTTTCTGTTGAGCTGTCACGAGCATGAAGAGAATGGCATGATGACACATAGCAAGCACCTTAAACTACGAACAAGCCCTACCGAGAGAAAAAAGAAGGAAAACAATGAAGGAAAAGAAAGAAGGAACAAAATGCCTGATCTTGCTGCACCGTTCTCCAGCAATTTAAGGTACAAGACCAGCTAGAACATCATTCACAGGTGCTCTAGTTAGACAGGTTATACCCTACTTACTACTACAGCTAGCCCATGTATCATCTAACCTGATCTCCCATAACTCTCAAGGCATCTACAACTGTTCATCACCCTGCACGTCGCTGGCTATACTGTCTACGGCATTACAGTAACAATTGTGAGACAAGAAGTACTCAAAATTGGCCAGACTAAAACATAACTAAAGTAAATTCTGGTGAGCCTTTCGATTATTTTGTGAACAATCAGTACCTAATGAAACTAACCTCTTCACCGAAATAGCATGTGACTGGGTGCGCTGTTCACCTATAGTTTAGGGGGCGGGGCCCGGTAGGCTCATTCTTGACAGGACACCGCCTCCCATCAAATGATTAACTACCCTAAATTCTAGTTAGCCTTACAGCAATACAAACATAATTAGGTTTCTGACAGAAAAAAAATCTACATAAATAAAATTTAAAAAAAGCAACTACAGTTTAAGTGGCGGGGCCCGGTAGGCTCATCGTTCACAGGTCATCGTCTCTCAGCCAGTAATTAACTACCCTATATTCTCGTTAGCCTTACAAGAACAAAAAATAATTAAGTTTCCGTTGAGCTTTTACGAGCATGAAGAGAATGACATGATGACACATAGCAAGCACCTTAAACTACGAACAAGCCCTACCGAGAGAAAAAAGAAGGAAGAAGGCTCATTGTTCACAGGTCACCGTCTCCCAACTAAGAGTTAACCACTCTAACATTTAATTAGCCCTACAGAAAAAGAAAACAAATTAAGTTTCTGATAAAACAAAACGCCACATGAATAAATGAAACAAAGCCACTGATTGGGCGAGCCGTTGATCTGTCACAAGCATGAAGAGAATGGCATGATGACACATAGCAAGCACCTTAAACTACGAACAAGCCCTACCGAGAGAAAAAAGAAGGAAAACAATGAAGGAAAAGACAGAAGAAACAAAATGCCTGATCTTGCTGCACCGTTCTCCAGCAATTTAAGGTACAAGACCAGCTAGAACATCATTCACAGGTGCTCTAGTAAGACAGGTTATACCCTACTTACTACTAGTACTACAGCTAGCCCATGTATCATCTAACCTGATCTCCCATAACTCTCAAGGCATCTACAACTGTTCATCACCCTGCTCGTCGCTGGCTGTACTGTCTACGGCATTACAGTAACAATTGTGAGACAAGAAGTACTCAAAATTGGCCAGACTAAAAAATAACTAAAGTAAATTCTGGTGAGCCTTTCGATTATTTTGTGAACAATCAGTACCTGATGAAACTAACCTCTTCACCAAAATAGCAAGTGCCTGGGTGCGCTGTTCACCTATAGTTTAAGGGGCGGGGCCCGGTAGGCTCATTCTTCATAGTACAACGCCTCCCATCAAATGATTAACTACCCTATATTCTAGTTAGCCTTACAGCAATAGAAACATAATTAAGTTTCTGACAGAAAAAAAGTCTACATAAATAAAATTTTAAAAAGCAACTACAGTTTAAGTTGCGGGGCCCGGTAGGCTCATTGTTCACAGGTCACCGTCTCCCAACTAAGAGTTAACTACTCTAACATTTAATTAGCCCTACAGAAAATGAAGACAAATTAAGTTTCTTACAGAACAAGGCTCTGCATACATGAGAGAGGAAAATAAATAAAGCTACTGCCTGGGCGTGCTATTCACCTACAGTTTAAGGGGCGGGGCCCGGTAGGCTCATGGTTCACAGGTCACCGTCTCCCAACTAAGAGTTAACTACTCTAACATTTAATTAGCCCTACAGAAAAAGAAGACAAATTAAGTTTCTTACAGAACAAGGCTCTGCATACATGAGAGAGGAAAATAAATAAAGCTACTGCCTGGGCGTGCTATTCACCTACAGTTTAAGGGGCGGGGCCCGTTAGGATCATTACTCACAGGTCACCGTCTCTCAGCCAGTAATTAACTACCCTATATTCTAGTTAGCCTTACAAGAACAAAAAATAATTAAGTTTCCGTTGAGCTTTTACGAGCATGAAGAGAATGGCATGATGACACATAGCAAGCACCTTAAACTACGAACAAGCCCTACCGAGAGAAAAAAGAAGGAAAACAATGAAGGAGAAGAAAGAAGGAACAAAATGCCTGATCTTGCTGCACCGTTCTCCAGCAATTTAAGGTACAAGACCAGCTAGAACATCATTCACAGGTGCTCTAGTAAGACAGGTTATACCCTACTTACTACTACAGCTAGCCCATGTATCATCTAACCTGATCTCCCATAACTCTCAAGGCATCTACAACTGTTCATCACCCTGCACGTCGCTGGCTGTACTGTCTACGGCATTACAGTAACAATATTGTGAGACAAGAAGTACTCAAAATTGGCCAGACTAAAAAATTACTAAAGTAAATTCTGGTGAGCCTTTCGATTATTTTGTGAACAATCAGTACCTGACGAAACTAACCTCTTCACCAAAATAGCAAGTGACTGGGTACGCTTTTCGCCTATAGTTTAGGGGGCGGGGCCCGGTAGGCTCATTGTTCACAGGTCACCGTCTTCCAACTAAGAGTTAACTACTCTAACATTTAATTAGCCCTACAGAAAAAGAAGACAAATTAAGTATCTTATTACAGAACAAGGCTCTGCATACATGAGAGAGGAAAAAAATATAAAGCTACTGCCTGGGCGTGCTATTCACCTACAGTTTAAGGGGCGGGGCCCGTTAGGATCATTATTCACATGTCACCGTCTCTCAGCCAGTAATTAACTACCCTATATTCTAGTTAGCCTTACAAGAACAAAAAATAATTAAGTTTCTGATACAACAAAACTACACATGATTAAATAAAACAAAGCATCTGATTGGGCGAGCCGTTGATCTGTCACGAGCATGAAGAGAATGGCATGATGACACATAGCAAGCACCTTAAACTACAAACAAGCCCTACCGAGAGAAAAAAGAAGGAAAACAATGAAGGAAAAGAAAGAAGGAACAAAATGCCTGATCTTGCTGCACCGTTCTCCAGCAATTTAAGGTACAAGACCAGCTAGAACATCATTCACAGGTGCTCTAGTAAGACAGGTTATACCCTACTTACTACTACAGCTAGCCCATGTATCATCTAACCTGATCTCCCATAACTCTCAAGGCATCTACAACTGTTCATCACCCTGCACGTCGCTGGCTGTACTGTCTACGGCATTACAGTAACAATTGTGAGACAAGAAGTACTCAAAATTGGCCAGACTAAAAAATAACTAAAGTAAATTCTGGTGAGCCTTTCGATTATTTTGTGAACAATCAGTACCTGATGAAACTAACCTCTTCACCAAAATAGCAAGTGCCTGGGTGCGCTGTTCACCTATAGTTTAAGGGGCGGGGCCCGGTAGGCTCATTCTTCATAGTACAACGCCTCCCATCAAATGATTAACTACCCTATATTCTAGTTAGCCTTACAGCAATAGAAACATAATTAAGTTTCTGACAGAAAAAAGTCTACATAAATAAAATTTTAAAAAGCAACTACAGTTTAAGTTGCGGGGCCCGGTAGGCTCATTGTTCACAGGTCACCGTCTCCCAACTAAGAGTTAACTACTCTAACATTTAATTAGCCCTACAGAAAATGAAGACAAATTAAGTTTCTTACAGAACAAGGCTCTGCATACATGAGAGAGGAAAATAAATAAAGCTACTGCCTGGGCGTGCTATTCACCTACAGTTTAAGGGGCGGGGCCCGGTAGGCTCATGGTTCACAGGTCACCGTCTCCCAACTAAGAGTTAACTACTCTAACATTTAATTAGCCCTACAGAAAAAGAAGACAAATTAAGTTTCTTACAGAACAAGGCTCTGCATACATGAGAGAGGAAAATAAATAAAGCTACTGCCTGGGCGTGCTATTCACCTACAGTTTAAGGGGCGGGGCCCGTTAGGATCATTACTCACAGGTCACCGTCTCTCGGCCAGTAATTAACTACCCTATATTCTAGTTAGCCTTACAAGAACAAAAAATAATTAAGTTTCCGTTGAGCTTTTACGAGCATGAAGAGAATGGCATGATGACACATAGCAAGCACCTTAAACTACGAACAAGCCCTACCGAGAGAAAAAAGAAGGAAAACAATGAAGGAAAAGAAAGAAGGAACAAAATGCCTGATCTTGCTGCACCGTTCTCCAGCAATTTAAGGTACAAGACCAGCTAGAACATCATTCACAGGTGCTCTAGTAAGACAGGTTATACCCTACTTACTACTACAGCTAGCCCATGTATCATCTAACCTGATCTCCCATAACTCTCAAGGCATCTACAACTGTTCATCACCCTGCACGTCGCTGGCTGTACTGTCTACGGCATTACAGTAACAATATTGTGAGACAAGAAGTACTCAAAATTGGCCAGACTAAAAAATTACTAAAGTAAATTCTGGTGAGCCTTTCGATTATTTTGTGAACAATCAGTACCTGACGAAACTAACCTCTTCACCAAAATAGCAAGTGACTGGGTACGCTTTTCGCCTATAGTTTAGGGGGCGGGGCCCGGTAGGCTCATTGTTCACAGGTCACCGTCTCCCAACTAAGAGTTAACTACTCTAACATTTAATTAGCCCTACAGAAAAAGAAGACAAATTAAGTTTCTTACAGAACAAGGCTCTGCATACACGAGAGAGGAAAATAAATAAAGCTACTGCCTGGACGTGCTATTCACCTACAGTTTAAGGGGCGGGGCCCGTTAGGATCATTACTCACAGGTCACCGTCTCTCAGCCAGTAATTAACTACCCTATATTCTAGTTAGCCTTACAAGAACAAAAAATAATTAAGTTTCTGTTGAGCTGTCACGAGCATGAAGAGAATGGCATGATGACACATAGCAAGCACCTTAAACTACGAACAAGCCCTACCGAGAGAAAAAAGAAGGAAAACAATGAAGGAAAAGAAAGAAGGAACAAAATGCCTGATCTTGCTGCACCGTTCTCCAGCAATTTAAGGTTCAAGACCAGCTAGAACATCATTCACAGGTGCTCTAGTTAGACAGGTTATACCCTACTTACTACTACAGCTAGCCTATGTATCATCTAACCTGATCTCCCATAACTCTCAAGGCATCTACAACTGTTCATCACCCTGCACGTCGCTGGCTGTACTGTCTACGGCATTACAGTAACAATTGTGAGACAAGAAGTACTCAAAATTGGCCAGACTAAAAAATAACTAAAGTAAATTCTGGTGAGCCTTTCGATTATTTTGTGAACAATCAGTACCTGATGAAACTAACCTTATCACCAAAATAGCATGTGACTGGGTGCGCTGTTCACCTATAGTTTAGGGGGCGGGGACCGGTAGGATCATTATTCACAGGTCACCGTCTCTCAGCCAGTAATTAACTACCCTATATTCTAGCTAGCCTTACAAGAAGAAAACATAAATAAGTTTCTGATAGAAAAAAACTACATATGAATAAATAAAACAAAGCATCTGATTGGGCGAGCCGTTGATCTGTCACGAGCATGAAGAGAATGGCATGATGACACATAGCAAGCACCTTAAACTACGAACAAGCCCTACCGAGAGAAAAAAGAAGGAAAACAATGAAGGAAAAGAAAGAAGGAACAAAATGCCTGATCTTGCTGCACCGTTCTCCAGCAATTTAAGG